GCTGGCACTGAGGTTACAAATGTGAACTTCCATGTCTGGCTTTTATGTGAGTTCCAGGGAATCTTACCAGTTCTCATGCTTGTTCAGTCTCAGCTCCCTAGGCATTTCTTAACCCAAAGATTTATTTATTATATACACAGTGTTCTGCCTGCATGCCAGAAGAGGGCACCAGATCTCATTATAGATGGTTGTGAGCTATCATGTAGTGGCTGGGAATTGAACTCAGAACCTCTGGAAGAACAACCAGTGCTCTTAACCTCTGATCCATCTCTCCATCCCGGTCAAATGTTTTTTTAAAAATATCTTCTACTTGATACTCTTTCATACATATATGCAATGTATCATGATCATAACCACCCAAAAGCCCCCTCCCACTCCTCCTGGAAGCTCATGAACACATCACCCTCCCATCTTTCTTCCCTCTCTCCCTTCTTTCTTCCTTCCTCTCCCCCTCTTTTTCTCTCTTTCTTCCTACTGAGTTGAATTGCCTGCTGGAATGTTAACTGATCTTGTTGACTTGATCTTGGGCAGGTAACCATTGCTGCAGTGAGTTCATGAGTGTAGCAGTTATATCATGTCCTGAAGACAACATTCGCAGCACATCTCCCAATCCTCTGGCTCTTACATTGTTTCTGTTCCATCTTCCTTGATGTTCAGTGAGCCTTGGGTGTGTGTGTATCTATCTGGTTGATATGGATTTCCCATTTATGGCTGAGCACTCAACAGTCAATATTTCTTAGTACTTTCATCGCCTAAGAATCTCTGACTGACCAAAGGAATATCAGAGTTGGTATACTTGAAAACTCATAATTCTCCAGGTCATGTTCTCTGTTTTTCTGGTTCACCATCCTGGGCATTTGCAGCAGCCTTATGTAGGCAGCAGATTCTGCAGCTGTGTACAGCACTGTTTCTAGATCTAATGTCTCCAGGGACAGGTAAAGTGATCTATTTCCAAGGATTCCTAGCTCTCTATGGAAAGATATCTGTACTCAGAGGTTATAAGCAAATCTTTCTTCTCCTTAACAAATTCCAAGTCATCTACCTAGGAGTGAACCAAAAGAATGCCCATGGGAACTCAGTCAAATGCTTTTTTATTGGATATAAACTGTCAGTCACTATCAGCTTTCTGTGCATATAGACAAAGAGGCTCTAACAGTCTGCAGGGAGATTTATTCCCAAGATGGTTGGATGACAGTTGTGAGGTGTGGGCAGCTGGTGATTCAGTTTCCCCCGTGGGTGTCTCTCCATGGACTCTTGCACAGGTGACACTTGGTTTTAAGACTGAGTGTTCCCAGAGACAGGAGGATATGCTGCCAGTTTCTCCCACCCTGGGCCTAGAAAGTAGCACTATGGTAAGCTAGTCACTGGTGAACTCACAAAACCCAGGTCTGACGTGACAATATCCAGATGAAGATCCAGCAACTGCAGGAGGCAGGAGGGTCAGGAACTAGCTAACTTGGGCAAGACTGGCAACACACTGAAATCCTGTCTCAAAACCAAAGAAACCCACCCAATAAAGTGTACATAAATTCCAAAGGTGATGAAATAGACCACACTCCTCAACAGAAGGGTTGAAGAATGTGAGAGTTTTAACCTGTCAGTCTCCTTTTATCTACACACTATTTAAGTTTTTCTTACATGCAATCAGTCTCTCAAGACCACCAAATGTCTCATTTTAGCATCCAGGATAACTTTATTTTTAAATTTTGAGACAGGGTGGTGCAGGTTGGCCTCGAACTCCTGGGTTCAGGGCTCTAGTGATTCACCTGCTTTACTCTCCCAAGTAACTTGGAGCATTGCACTTTGCTTAGCCTAACTTGATTTCCTATTGCATGCCAGATGCCTTTACACATTGTTTGGTCTATAACACAAAAGGACTGTTTTCTTTTTTCTCTCAAAACAGAGTTTGAGCCGGGCGGTGGTGGCGCATGCCTTTAATCCCAGCACTTGGGAGGCAGAGGCAGGCGGATCTCTGTGAGTTCAAGGCCGGGCTGGACCGACAGCCTCCAAAACAATACAGAGAAACTCTGTCTTGTAAAAATAAAAAACAACAACAACAACAAAAAAAAACCAGAGTTTGATCCATTAGTTGCCCTATAAAGCCATTTATGAGATAGATAATCTCAGTTCATTCTCATTTTTCTTTCTTTCTTTTTTTTTTTTTTTTTTTTGAGACATGTTTTCTCTGTGACTGTCCTGGAACTCTCTCAGAAGAGCAGGCTGGCCTGGAACTTAAAGATCCGTCTGCCTCTGCCTCCCAGTGCTGGGGTTAAAATGGTGTGTATCACTGCCTGGCTCATTCTTATTTTCAGAAGACATGTTTGAAAGATTAGGGAGTAAAAGTAAAATCAGTACTTGAGGCTAAATTATTTGACTTCAAATTCAACATGGTCTATATCTCAGTGGGACTCACAATGTGGCAGGGGAAGGTGTTGTGTTGACAAAGCTACACTAAAGCAAAGTCTATACTAAGGTGTTGGCTGTGGAAAGGAACAGATGCAGCTCACAGCTTGAAACTTGGAGTGTGGTGATCGTTCAAATTTGAGAAGGGCAGAGCAAACAGTACCCAGGATAGTTTTCAGGCTTGGGGACCAAGCTCAGAGCCACACAGGAGTCCGAGATAGGATGTAATAGGCAAGTAAGGTCTTTACATCCTTAAATGGGTCAAACTCTAGATCTGTCTGTTGTGAAAAAAACATGAGATAAATTATCTCAAAATAGGATTCTAGGTTTAAGCTTTCAGATGTTTCAATCCAAGTTCTGATGGCCCCGTGCTTTGTGCCTGAGGTAAGGCAGACTGTTATGACAATGGGACCATGTAGTAACTGCTCACCTCATGAAAGCCAGAAAGCAAGGAGGGAGAGGTACACTTCCAGCGAGTTACTTCTCCCAGCTAGGACCCACCTCAGCTGATTCGGAAATAAATTCATCTGTGGACCGCTGACAACCTCCCACCCCCAAATAGTTCTCAATAGCGACACCAGCTGGATCCAGTCCTTTGTGAGGAGACATTTCTGGAGGGGTGGTCTCTTCCTGGGCCAGGTGGTTGACCAGACCAAATGGAATGTTAGGTGCCTACCTAGGTCAGAGAATGATTCTCTTGGCCAGAATGAACTAATTTTTCCTCAACGGGTGTTATTGTGGGCTGCCTCACTGACAAAAGCAATTCAAGGAGGGAAGGGAGGCGTTATTTCCGCTGAGAGTACCAGGTAACAGCTCTTCTCCCCCTCCCCTTCCCTTCGGGGAAGCCAGGATAGCAGGAGCTTGAGAAAGTGGGGCACGGGTGGTATTCAGTCATGGTGGAGTGAATGCTCGCCTCAGGGGTCCTTTTCTTTTCTTTTCTTTTTTTTTCGAGACAGGGTTTCTCTGTGGCTTTGGAGGCTGTCCTGGAACTCACTTTGTAGACCAGGCTGGCCTCGAACTCACAGAGATCCACCTGCCTCTGCCTCCCAAGTGCTGGGATTAAAGGCGTGTGCCACCAACGCCCTGCGGGTCCTTTTCATTCAGTAGAAGACAGGAATACCCCCGCCTGCAGTGGTCAAGCCTTTCCATCTCGCCTAGGGGTGTCACCTCAATTCCCCACCACAGGCATGCTCAGGGGTTCTAGATCCTGTCAAGGTGACACCACTAACCGGCCCATCTCCCTAGTGCTGAGGTCACCTTCTGTTTGAACCGCACGTGTGCAAAGCCACCAGGAATCTCTCAAACTGCCATAATACATGATCCTATCAATAAAGCGCCGAGCCACATATTTTCTTCATTAAACTCTAGACTCCAAGATACTGAAAACAAGATGGAGATTATCTTAACCATCAGCATCATGATGTTGCATAGAGCAGCCAGTGAGCGTTTGGATACTTAATACTTCATGTGTGGCTTTTCTTAGTACCTGAAGCTGACCTTGAATTTCTGATCCTCACCTCCAAGTGCTGAAACCACAGGCATGCACTAGCATGTGCAGCTCATTTATGGTATATTGATAGGTTATTCACTAGGAAACACAGCTTGGGGATAAATTAACGAATGAATTTGCTCAGGCTGGCCTTCGACAAAGTAGCATCAGATGATTTTGAATTCCTGATTCTGTTTCCCTCTCTTACTTGGGATTATAGTAATGTGCTGCCGCACCTGGCTCAGTTTTTACTTTTAAAGTGGGTTTTGTGTCCGTGATTGGCGTCCCCCCCCCCCCCGCAGTGTTCCCAGAGTCTTCTTTGGTGGCATTCAGCATGTGTAAAGTTGACAGGAAAGAGGACATAACAAGTTTTCTGAGACCAGGGAGTTCTTAAAGTGTATGTAATTAAAAACAAAAACCAAAACCAAAACCGAAAGAATGTGTTTAAGAGCTCAGGTGACTGGGAACTCAACTTTCCCCAGCTTAAGGTCTCTTAAAGGCCCTCGTGCCATAATTGCTCTGGGCCAGCCGGCTCGCGCCGAGCCCACACGCCTCTTCCGTGGCCTGCCATTGGCCCGGGGCGATCTCCACGTCTCTTCCGCGCACGAGGCGCCTCGCACCCGGGGCGCCACGAACCTAACAGACGCCCAGCCCGCGGCCCGGCCGCCCGTCTGGGCCGCACCCAACAGTCGCGCCAGGGGCAGGTCACCGCAGCGCGAGGGCCTGGGATGCGGAGGGGCTGAGAGTCGTGGTCCCTAGGGTTCGGAAGATCGGGAAAATGTCTTCCGGGCATGCGCCACAGCGGCGGTTAAGTGACCCAAAACCGACGCCGTGGAGTCGGCAGCCCGAAGGGATGGGGCCCGAGCATGGCCGGGCTTCGCACGCCCAGCGAGGACCCTGAGGGCGCAGAGCGCAGGCGCGAGGCGCAGGGACAGCGGGCGTCCAGGTGCGGGGCGGGGGCCCCCAGGTGCGGAGAACGGGGATGGAGCAGCGCGGCTGCGCGGCGTCAGGGGCGGGGCCCGCGGCTACACGGGACTGGGCGGTGCTTTGTCTGACCAGCTCCCCTTCTAGGGTGGATTTGCTTCTTAACCACGGGGTGAGTGCTGCTGGGGGTAGACGCGGGCTAGACATGGAACACTGACGCCACCCCTCCACCCCCAGCTGAGGTTCATAATATGAGCCAGGAAATCAATGAAAAGATAGTGGTTGATACTTGCCCACTTCAGATTAAGTTGTAGTTGATGGGAACATGTGTAGTAGAATACCAGCATTCAAGTCCCAGAGTGAATTGGATCAGTGTTGTAGGATTACTGGCTTATTAAGGGCACCCCCGCCCCCAAGTTTCATTGGACGATGTTTGAGAAGTTACTGAAAGCTGTAGGGATGAGGTTGAGAATTCGAGGATGACCTTGAACTTCTCTGTGTGCTTAGTGACTCCTGTGTGCCACCGGGTCTGGTTTTATATGGAGTTGGGGGGTCGGATATACTTCATGCTTGCTAGGTAAGCATTCTACATCCCGAGGTCACGGATCTTAGCAATAATTTGTATCACACCGAACTGGTGATGGCAAAACAAGAGGAGGAGTGCGCTTTGTGGAGTTGGAACTTTGAGAACCACTATCTCAGCACTCCCTGGATGAATTCTGTAGCAAGTGGTAACAGGCGAGAAGGCAGAACACCTACGCCTTTTCACCTGGGCCATCATTTCTTCTAGGCATCTCGTGTGAAAAGGGATTATTTGGCATTTACAGCTGAGTTGCCGCTGATTCTGATACAGAGCCTGGAGGATAAATCTGCATTTTTATTATTATTTTTGTCGCAATGGAAGTTGGAAACAAAATGGAAGTGGCAGAAAAGACCATACCGGTAAATGCCACCCATCCTACCCACCTACATGGGTCTCAGAGGGAGGGGTACTGTGCAGAAATGACAAATCATCCTATTTAGGCCCTTGCCTCTCCATGGGGTGTTGAACTAAAGACTGACATCAGTCAAATACCCTCATTTGATGTGTATAGCACAAAGACACAGATGCTAGTTATTAAAAAGTATCTCTGAACGTGCAAATGGGTCACCCTGGAGATGTTATTTTCCTCTTCTTTACCTGGAGAGGTTAAAGTGTAGAGTCTTATTTGAGAAGGTCTGTTGAGGCCCCAGACTTTGCATTTCTCTAAGTTACTAGGAATCTCGGTTTACTCCTTTTTGGTACTGGCAGGAATAGTTGGCACAGCTGTTGCAGATACAGCTAACGTTTCTTTTTCTATTGGATCTGCTAAAAAGAGCTGTTGTGATTTAGGGTTTTTGCATTAAGAGCACTTTAGCAGGGTTTAACTCAGGATAGGTACAGCAAGGGAAGCTGAGAATGGAGATGTCTGTATAGATAGAGATTCTTGCAGGGAGTAGGGTATGGGAAGATAGGGTAAGTGTTTAGATTAGGAGGAAACATACATTTAGAATCTAAACTTCAGATGGTGAGGGTGGTCAGATACTAAGGGTGGGAAATTCACTTTAAACTGAGTCTAAAACTGGCCTATGCCCTCCAAAGACTGGGATTCAGACCCTAAATCAAAGCCTGCTGGAGAAGTGGCCTTAGAGGAGTTTGAGTAAAGATTGGGAGTTGAGGGGTCAGTTGTTTGCCCAGCATTTCCTAGCCTCCCGTCTATCTGAACCACAGTCTTTGGTAGTTCTCACAGTAAAAAAAACCGGAAGTCTAGCTACAGGAAGCATAAAGCCCAGTTATGGCATACTGAAAAGAGGTGGTTTGGAGGGGGGGTGGGATGGAAGGGTGGAGGGGGTGAGGGGTGGTTGGGTGGAGGGGGTGTGGGGTAGAGGGAGTGGTGGGGTGGAGGGGTGAGGGTGGAGGGAGTGCTGCCTGGTGACTTTAGGTTTGAGCTGTATGGAGGCTGTTGTTGCCCCATTTGATTGGAAAGAAGAAATCTTTTTGTTTTCTGCTTAAATGTCTAAAGTCATGCATGATTGAGAACTTGTTTCAAATCTTTCAGTGCAGTAGTGTGGCTGGTGGTAATTTTGAAGAAGTTTGTCCAGAGAAGGTAATTAGGTTTAAACCACCACTATACAAACAACGGTACCAGTTCGTTAGAGATTTAGTGGATCGTCATGAACCCAAGAAGGTAATTATGTTTTTTTTCTTTAACTGTTAAGATTGTCCTACTAAAGTGGTTTATCAAGTATACTAGTAAGGACAGAGTTCCACCTCCCACACAGTGTTAGGGATTACAGGCAGAGGCTTTGGCGTGCTGGGCCAGCACTTTCCTGCTAAGCTACATCCCCTGCCTGAAAAAGACCTGAGTGATTTCAAGTGGTGGTGGACTTAAGTATGGCACATTGTAATACAAGTATAGAACTGTCAAAACCAAAAAGATGGTTTAACTCATACACTCAAGTGATCCTCCTGCCTCAGCTTCTTGAAGCAGAGACTGTAGGTATGCCCAGCAGAAGAAACTTCAGAGTGATTATTGCAATAGGGAGAAGACCTTAAGGGTAAGGGCAACCTGTGTTTCAGAGTTAAGTAGTTTTTTTTTTTCATTTCTTTTTTTCTCAACCATGGAGGAGTGAACAAAGTCACATGTAGAGTGTAGTCTTCCTTGTCAGTCGCCTGGGACCTGCTGTGCTGTCTGAACTCCCAAATAACACACAGGACGCTGTATTAATTATTAAGCTGTTGGCCATTTGCTTGGTTTCTTACTGGCTATCTCTGACTTAAGTAACCCATAATTGTTAATCTAAATATTTTTCTTACCGGAGAAAAGGGTCCGGACCTCTTTCTTCTCTGGCTACCTACATGGTGTCTGCATCTGCCTCTCTTTCCTTGGATCCTCCTTGCCTCCTAGTCCCACCTATCTTGCTTCCCTATTGGCCAACAGTGCTTTATTCAGCAACCAATAAGAGACAGATTTGCAGAATGACATCTCCCATCAGTCACAAATTGGGAAAATCATTATGATAGTCCCAAGAAAGGCCAGCAGCATTTTTAACAGTGAGGGCAGCTAAATTATAGTGAGAGAAGTTTATTTTTGGAGACAGGGTCTTAGAGTTCAAGCTGATCTCTGTCTGCACTCTGCCTTTCCTCCCAGGTTTGGGATTGTGTTTGCCGCCACACCTGCTGAATGCCCTTCCATCTGTTTTTAATTATAAGATCTGACTGTGTTGTCCTGGCTGGTCTCAAACTCTTGGGCTCAAGTGATTTTCTTTTCTTTCCTTCCCTTCCTCCTTCCTTCCTTCCCTTTTTGTTTGTTTTTGTTTTTTTTTCAAGACAGGGTTTCTTTGTCTAGTCCTGGCTGCCCTGGAATTCACTCAGTAGACCAAACTGGACTTGAACCCAGAGATCTGTTTCCCCGAGTGCTGGAATTAAAGGCATGTGCTACCAGCCTGGCCTCAAGTGATTCTTGCTTTCCATTTTAGTCTTCTTTATTTTCCCTGACAAAGTGGGGACCACAGACATTTGGGGAAGGATCACTGAGGAAAAGCTATTTCATCAGTCTGGGGAGGCAGTTCAGTGGCATGGGGTGGGCTGGGGGAGGAGCTTGAGGAAACTGGTTAAGGGAAATTTTGGGAACAAAGAGAAATTTTCCATATTGAGGCAAGGAATGGAAACATGGAGCCTAAGCTATGCCTTAATGGAGGAGGATCTTTGTAGAGACCCTTTTCCTGGAACGTTAGTCCCTTTAGCTCTGCACAGGGAGCACAGAGTCACCTTGCTAGCAGGTGAAATGTTTCACCCAATTGGTAGAGGCGCTGGTTACCAAATCTCATGACCTGAATTCAATTCCATGATCTGCCTGGTGAAAGCCAAGAGAATTGACTTCCACAAGTTCTCTGATTCCCACCCCTGTGTTGTGGTAAGCAAGAGAAAAATGCAACAACATCAAAAAAGAATTCTTCATTACTAATTTTTTTCTTTAAAAAATTTATTCGCATCCCTGAGCTCAGGAGGCAGATGCAGGTGGATCTCTGAGTTCCAGGCTATCCTGGTCTACAGAGTGAATTTCAGGATAGCCAGGGCTACACAGAGAAACCCTGTCTGAACAACTGAAAGAAATCTATTTCTCTGTCTCTGTCTCTGTCTCTGTCTCTCTGTGTGTGAGTGTGCTGCTAGAGAGTATCAGATCCTCTGGAACTGGAGTTACAGGCAGCGTGTGCTATCTGATGTGGTGCTTGGAACTGAACCTGGGTCCTCTGAAAGAGCAACCAGCATTCTTCACTTCTGAACCACTTCTCCAGACCCCTTCACTAATATTTAAATGTGAGGGAAATCTTGATTATTTTTAGTTGGTTTTAATGCCATAGATTCCACATTTCAGGAATATTCAGTTGTAATATCAGGCAGTATTACAGTATGTAGTTAGAGGTACTGTGATTCTTTTCATATTAGATGGGCCAGAATGGCACAGGTATCTAACCCCAGGTATACTCTGCTGAGGCAGAAGGATTGCTTAAGCTCTGGAGTTTGAGGCCAGTCTGAGCTACATAGCTAACTCAAAAGCAAAAACTGACCAAACAAACAGTGACAAGTCAGGTGATAATGGGTCTGTCCATCAACTTTGGAGCAAAGTCATAGTTTCATAGAATAAAGTGCCTAGCTGTTATGCTAATGGGCTTGGTGTGGCAGTGGGCTAGATGCTGGTAAGGTTCTTTCTCTGCTCAGCAGTGAGGACGGGGTTAAGAGGCTTTCTCTTTCCGGCTCCCTTTATCGCCTCAGCTATTTTGCAGATGTTCACACATCTGCCTTAGTAGCCTTTTAAGCAAATCTGTTCACTTGAAGGGTCTGAAGTGCCCTCCCTTTTTTGCAGCTCAGAGTTCGATATGGAATTTCATATAGTTCAATATGACTTTTCCTAAACAATTTGAGAAATTAGGGCTGGGGATATAACTCAGTTGGTAGAATGCTTTTCTAGCATGCACAGAGCCCTGGGTTTGACCTCTAGTGTCTCATAAAATGGCACAGTGGTGCATGCCATAATCCCGAATTCTTAGCAGTCAGGATGTGGTTTGGCTGCATATCAAGTTTGAGGCCAGCCAAGGGCACAGGAGACCCTGTCTCAATAAGTAGATTAATGCATAAACTTAAAGAGTTAAGAAATTGGATTACTCTGTGAGAAAGGAGTGGAAGCAGAATTTTAGCAAGCTTTGTTTCTGAAGCATGACACTAACAACTCTAACTTGTGCTGGGCATGGTGTCACAGACCTGTACTCAACACACTCAGGCAGAGGCAGGAGGATTGCTATGAGTTTGAGGCCAGTTTGGTGTGCATAGTAAGTTCCAAGACAGCAACAAAACACCAAAATAAATAGAAATAAGACCCAGCTTGTAATTCTTGCTTTGGAACTGAGGATAACCTTGAATCCTCCATCTTCCTGCCTCTACTTTCCAAGTGCTAGGATTACAGGTCTGCAACCATCACACTTGGTTCTGGGAGTGGGACCCAGGGCTTCAGGCATGCTAGGCAGGCACTATATCAATTACACCTCCATCCCTACGTGTGATTCTGCCCCACCTCTCTCCTTCTTTGAGTCAGGGTCTCATATCCAAGATGGTTTCAAACTTTCTGCTTTAGCATCCCCAGTGCTAGGATTCTAGGCAGAGACCACTATGCCTTTTTATCTTTCTCTTTGACTCAAATATAGACAGTAGCAATTGTTCTGAATAGGAATGACTCTGTCTGACTCCTCAAGCACTGGTTTGCCTGCAGGACTAGAAAGTCTCAGTTTTTGTGTATACTCTTCTACCCCCAAAGATCCTTCCACACATAGCTTTATGTTTTCACTACTGATACACAATCTCCCACTGTGGGCGGAAGCCCAAAAAAGGTCAACACTGGGTGTCTTCCTCTGTCACTCTCCCCCTTATATTTTTTGAGATGGTTTCTCATGGAACCTGGACCTCTTAGACTTGGTTAGGCTGCAAGTAGGGTTACAGGTAGCTTCTGCCACATCTGACTTTCTGACTTTATATATGGGAGACCCTCATTCTTGCACTTCACTAACTGAACCATCTTCCCAGGCACCCTGTAGTTTTTTTTTATTTTTTGAGACAGGGTTTCTCTGTGTAACAGTCCTGGCTGTCCTGAAACTCACTTTGTAGACCAGGCTGGCCTCAAACTCACCGAGATCTGCTGACTTCTACCTCCTGAATGCTGGGATTAAAGTCATGCACTACTACCACCTGGCCCCTCTAGCTTTAAAAGCTCATACTTTTCTGGCTCTGAATGTTTTGCAAATGATACTGTGTCTCATTTATAGGTTGCAGACCTGGGATGTGGCGATACCAAGCTCCTAAAGCTGCTAAAAATCTACCCATGCATTCAACTGCTTGTTGGGGTAGATATCAATGAAGAAAAATTACATTCAAATGGGTAATACTTCTAGTGCTATGGTTTGGATGTGTTTCATCTCCCAAAGGTGCTTGTGTTGGCAGCCTGGTCCCCAGAGTGGTGGTGGAACTGTCGAGAGGTAGGGGGTATAGTCATAGGTCATGGGGGACTCTTCTAAGAGATGAACTCTCCCTCTGTTTTGAGGGAAGATATTATGACATAACATAGGTGTCCTCATATTGAGATATTGAGAACAATATGGAAAACTTAAAATCATGTTCTTAGTGGCTCAACCTCCCACGGTGGAAGGAAGCTTCCCCATAGCCTAGTGTTTAGTACAAGAAGAGAAAAACAGGCAGAGCAGGACTCACAACGGTGTAGCCAAAAGGTGATGATCAGAGAGCCCGGGTTCTACAGCTCTGAGAGCTGCTTCTCATTTTACGTCTGTGGTTCTGGGAATTACAGTTGTAAATCTATACACACCAAAGTAGGACTTTGAGTTTCAGGGCCTCTCCTCATTCAGCTAGGTATGCCCTCTGCCCCTGAGCCATATCTCCACCCCCAATTGCCAAGTCCGTTGTTTCCAACTGTTGCTGACTGATGATGATTCTCTTGCAGGCATCACTTGTCTCCCTACTTGGGGGAGTTTGTAAAACCCCGTGATCTAGATTTGACTGTCACCTTGTATCATGGCTCTGTTGTGGAGAGAGACTCTCGCTTGCTTGGATTCGATTTGATAACATGCATTGAATTGTAAGTCTGAAAGTTGTGTCGACTCTCCATTTTGAAAAGTATGAAGGAATTAGCCTCAGTAATGAATGTGATTATTTGTAAAAAAAAATATACTCATCAGTTGGGAGTGTCTTTTTCCTGTTAGTATTTTACTTGGGAATTCCAGATATGAAGATAATTCCAAAACCAGGCATTCATATACTCATCACACAGCCACCTGTTGACTCTTCTATTCCTTATATTACACGTGCATCTCCCTCTACACAGTGCTTTTCCCTCCCGGAGTAAGAAGGCTATTTACATAGGCCTTTGTTCCTGTTTAAAACTTTCATTTGTGGGGCTGGGAGATGTCAGTCTCAGTGGTTAAGAACACTTGTTCTTGCAGAAGATATGGGTTCAGTTCCCAGCACTCACATTGTAGCTAACATCAATCCACTAACTCCATTGCATGGGCACCAACTCCCTCTTTTGACCTCCGAGGGCATATGGTTTGCAAGCAAAATACTCACACACATTAAAATAAAGAAATTTGTATTTATTTTTATAATGTGTTTAGTTTTTAGACTTTTAATTTACTTTTATGTGTGTGTTTGCCTGAATGTATGTCTCTGTACCGTGTGTGTGTGTGTGTGTGTGTGTGTGTGTGTGCACGCACGCGTGCTTGTGTGTGTAGTGCCTGAGGAGGCTAGAAGAGGGATTGAATTCCTTGGGACTGGAATCACAGACAGGTAATAGTTGTGAGCCAACGTGTAGGTGCTGGGAATCAAACTGTGATCCTCTAGAAGAGTAGCCAGTGCTCTTAACCCCTAAGCCATCTCTCCAGCCCCTGTATGTCTCTTTTTCTCCCATCTACTCTTCCTTCCTTCCTTTCTTTCTTCCTTCCTTCCTTCTTTCCTTCCTTCCTTCCTTCCTTGGATGGTCTCAAACATGCTGTATATAATCTTGAATTTCTCCTCCTCCTTGCCTCTACCTCCCAAGTGCTGGGATTAGAGGTGTGTGTGCACCATCATCAGTTTTGTGTGGTGCTAAGGATGGAAATCAGGGCTTTTAAGGTTTCTATTGCTGTTGATTTGTAGTCTTATTCCATTGTGATCAGACAGGACAGGGAATCATTTCAGTTTTTCTGTATTTGTTGAGATGTGCTTGGTGTCCTAATATATGATCTGCTTTAGGGAACGCTCCATGGGATGCTGGGAAGGAGGTGTGTGCTGCAGTGTTTGGATAGAATAGTCTACAGATTGTATGTTAAGTCATTTTGATCTATGAGTCATTTAATTCAGATATTTCTTTTGTTGGGATAGTCTGTCAATTGGTAAGAGTTGGGTATTGATGATATTTATGTTGTGCTGGGGTTAATCTGTGATGCCACATTTAGTAGCATTTGGCAATGTCTTTAAACAATAATTGTCTTATCTTCTGAGATGTTGTTTCTCCCCTGTCTCCTCTCTCCAAGCCCTTCCATGAATCATATTTGTTTGAGGTGTTGGGATCTGATACAGGGCATTGCCTCTGAGCCCCAGCTCTAGTTCTGTCACATTTCTGTTATCACTTGTAATTACAGATTTACAGACATTGTGGGATTAGGTACAAATTAGCACTGTTCTGTTCAACCAGGCTTACTAATTCTTTACCTTTGCTTCCATTTACTTAGACATTTCCTCTCCATGTAACTTCTTGTATGCATTTTTCATACGATCCACTTGAGAGTATATTGGGTACAATGGTCTTTTACCCATAAATACCTATATTTTAAAGATTTTCCTAAAAATGTTTATTAGATTGTGTGTGTGTTACTGAACTCATGTTGTCAGGCTCCATGGCGAGTACCGTTAGCCTGTTAGCCACATTGCGGCCCTTAAACATTTTTTTCTAAGAAGAAATGATTTGGCCAACCAGATGGCTCAGCAGGAAAAGGCACTTGGCTGTGTCAGTCTACAGACCTGATTTCAATTTCCAGAACCCATGTAAAGATGGAAGGAGAGAACTGGTTTTCAGTGTTGTACTCTGGTCACCGTATATGGCACATGCACACACACAATAAGAATAAAAATTAAGACATAAGATTACATGTTTCCTCTTTCATGGCGGTAGTTTGCTGTATTAGGAAATCTCACAATGGTCAGGTGTGGTTCACACCTTTAATCTCAGCACTTGGGAAGCTGAGGCAGGTGGATCTCTGTGAGTTCAAGGCCAACCTGGTCTACAGAGTGAGTTCCAGGACAGCTAAGGCTGCACAAAGAAACCCTGTCTTGAAAACCCTAAAAAGAAAATGTTCACAATGATGCATATGGTCATGTTATATAGTAGTCTATATCCAACATTCACAACTCAATTGTTCTTTTATAACTATTTTCAATAAGGTTGCCATTTAAAATGTGGGTTTTGTTTTATTTCTTATTTTTATTTTGTGGTACTTTTGGAGACAGGGTCTCTCTATGCATCCTTGGCTGTCTGGGAGCTCTCACAGAGAGCTGCCTGCCCTGTCTCCCAAGTGCTGGGATTAAAGGCATGCCCCACCACATCCAGCCTGGGGATTTTTAGTATCATGTCTGGAACAGGTTTGTTAAGTCTTTCTTTGCTCGAGAACATCACCCCTTAATCTGGATTCATCTTAGTATTTCAATGCTAGATCTAGGGGATTTTTTTCCTGCAGGGTAGGGTATTGATTAAGTGCTTCATGCATGCTGTAGCTCTCATCTCTACCTGTGTGTGTGTTCATGCACTCAAGAACTTAAATGCATGGAAGGTGGAGATTAGAGTGTGATGTCCTATGTCTCCCTCCCTCCCTCCCTCCCTGCCTCCCTCCCTCCCTCCCTGCCTCCCTCTCTCCCTTCCCTTCCTCCCTCTTTTCCTCCTTTCACTCCCTCCCTCTCTCTCCTCCTCTCCTTCCTTCCTTCCTTTCTTTTTCTTTCTTTCTTTCTGTCTTTTTTTTGAGGGGCAGGGTTTCTCTGTGCAGCCCTAGCTGTCCTGGAACTCACTCTGTAGACCAGGCTGGCCTCGGACTCACAGAGATCCATTTGCCCCTGACTCCCAAGTGCTGAGAGTAAGTGTGTGCCACCATGCCGGACCATGGTGTTTTTGAGATGGGTCTCTCAATGACCCTGAATCTTGCTGGCTGGCTATACTGGCTGGCCAACAAGCCCAAGAGATCTTCTGATCTTTGCCTCACCAGCTTTGGGGTTACAGATGTGTGTTCCCATGCCAGATTTTCTCTGAGTACAGGGGATCTGAACTTAGGTCCTCATTCTTATACAGGTATATTCACATGTGAGTTCAGGTGCCCCTCAAGGCTAGAAGAGGGCATCAGACACCCTGAAGCTGGAGTTTCAGGTGGTTGTGAGTCACCTAACATGGGTGTTGGAAACCAAACTTGGGTCCTCTATGAGATCAGTTTGTGCTCATAATTGTTGAGCTATCTCTGCAGTTGCCTGCCATTTTTGAAAAGAACTCATAGAGGTAATGTATTTTGGGGGCATCAAATCAAGGAATGTATGAGCTCAGATACTTTTTAAAGGACTATTGCTATGAATTCTATAGAGAGCAATGGAGTATCTTAGTTGATGGATCATCCTTGGCAATGCTGGGAGGGGGAAGGATTCAAATATAAGAACAATTGCTCATGGGTTGTAGACAGTAGCATTATCAAAGAAGGAAGGAAACCAACATCTAAGTAGGAACTATTTTGGCCAAGTCAATTAGGAAAATACATCCATGTATTTTATTAATCCATTGATTCTGTTGTTTTTCTTATTAACTACTTTAGAATAGAACATTTGAATTCAGATGATCTGGCCAGATTTCCGGAAGTTGTGTTTGGATACCTGTCACCATCCATGATCGTCATCAGCACACCAAATGCTGAATTCAACCCCCTGTTTCCCACAGTGACCCTGAGGGATGCAGACCATAAATTTGAGTGGAGCAGAATGGAGTTTCAGACCTGGTAAGTTCAGAATGCTTGCTTGTTGTTGTGTGTTTGATAGGAATCCTGCTATAGGAAGTAAGCTCTGATCTTACCTGCACTGTTTCTTACTTATTCCTGCAAGGTCTCCTGTGACTTGCGATGTGGTAAGATGCCAAGGAAAGCAGCACATTTGGGCAGCAGGAGAAAAGGGTGCGCACCTACTGGGTGCTCTTTAGGAGGCAGCTTTAGTGTGGGCACGGAATGAGGACCAAAATGGGGAGGATGTAGGCTGTGAGGTGAGCTCACTCCCATGCTTGGGGTGGTTTCTTGGCTTGCACACATGTTTTGGTGTAGTTACAAATGCACATAATCTGGGCCGGTGCCTTTGAGGGTTCCTCATCCACCCTTACACTCTGCCCTCCCTTTTCTCTTCCCGTGTTGACTTGGTAACTGAAAATGTGTCACTGCCTTTTAACCCCTGCAGAAGTCAGGCATCCTCGTGATACATCATACGCTTGTGTTCAACTAAAATTGTTTGTTTTGAGATAATGTCTCTTTATATAGCTCAGGCAAGCTTTAAACTCCTTATCCTTCTGCCTTATTCATGATAGGCATGTGCGTCCATGCTTGGTTTAGAAATACTTTGATTCATATATTTTCTGTGTTTCCTAAAACTGCCGACAAGAAGTGACTTGTGAGTTGTTTGTTTACAGAGCTGTTTAATCAGAGCTGTGTGTTAGAGAAGTGATTTCTCTTTGTTTCGTTTCAGGGCTTCACAGGTGGCAAACTGCTACGATTACTGCGTAGAGTTTACTGGGGTAGGGACAGCACCAGCTGGATTCGAGCATGTTGGATATTGTACCCAGATAGGTGTCTTTAGGAAAAACAGTGGAAAGCTCGCTGAGCCCTTTGTTTCACAGCAGCATGACCAGCATGTGTACAAAGCTGTGAGTATCCCTGGGAAGTAGCTGTCCGGGCTAGAAGTCCATGGGTCAGCATGATGGATAGTGAGACAAAGACTACAACCACCACCACCACCATCACCACCACCATCACCACCACCACCACCACTACCACCACCATCACCACCACCACTACCACCACCACCATCATCATTATCATCATCATCACCACCACCATCACCACCACCATCACCACCACCACCATCATCAACATCACCACCACCACTCCCTCCTTCCATCTTCCTCTCCTTCCTCTGCTTCTTTCTTCCCCATCCTCCTTTATCCTTAACCCCTTCTCCTTTTTCCTTATTTCTTTCTTTCTCCCCTTCCTTCCTTCCTCCTTCTTCTTTTCTTTCATTACTAATCTCAAAAGTAAAAAGGAGTATAAATGACCTTTTTTTTGTTGTTTTTTCTTCTTCTCTGTCTTTTTCTTGGTTGAATCTCACTATGTAGCCCTAGCTGGTCTAGAACTTGCTATATAGACAAGGCTGGCCTTGAACTCACAGAAATCTGCCTGCCTGTACCTCCCAAGTGCTGGCGTCAAAGGTAGCACCACTACACCTGACTAAGTGACTAATTTTGATGCTTATCATAGGAAGATGGTCCAGGCTCCATGGATCCTGGTAGGGTGGCCTATGGCATCCTTCTAGACTGTCTGGCCTCTTGGCATTACGAGGCAAAGAACAATTTGTTGGAGGTCTTTTCGGATGTTTCAGAGTAGGACTTCTGCTGTCTCCTTTGTAATCTGTTAGGATTGTCAGTAGTAAAGGGAGAGCTATTGATAATTCCTCTCCAGCTTGTGATGCACACGCGCGCGCACACACACACACACACACACATACACACACCACACCACACACACACGCACACACACCACGCACGCACACACACACACACACACACACACACACACACACACACACACACACACACACACACACACACACACCCCTCATTTTTCAAAAGACTACATTCTTTCCTTGATGGAATCATTTTCATTTACTTTTAATTTTCCTTTAACCTGTGTGTCACCTTATTGCCTAGAGTGGTCTTTTTTTTTTCTGTAACAGCGACCAATTTTTATTTTATTATTTTATGGATTAACATTTATCATTTTAGTGTCACTATCTCTTTAAACATTTATGATATATTTAATTTCGTTTCAGTGGTTATTCTCATTTATGTTCAAAATGTCCTACTTTTGGCCACTGGGTCTGAACAACTCCTGAAAATATTTTAAATTGCCATAATGGTCCCTGATAACTCCTTCTTATCTTTACCTGAGGGTCCAGATCAGCCCTGAGCATCTCTCTCCTTCAGATACGGACTCAGTTATTTCCCCTAGAGTGGTCTTTTATCTCTTGGACCAGTAGTTCTTTTGCCTGAGCCTCTCAAGGAGTTGGGGTTATAGGCATTTACCACTTTTTCTTTCTACCTTAATTTCCATGTGATATCAAGTAGTAGAAACACCGAGTTATGGGTTCGGTTAGGCTTTCAACATCTGTTAACTCCAGTTCCACCACATCTAATGCCCTATCCTGACTCTGGTGGGTACCACTCATGCATATGTTGCACAGACATACATGCAGGCAAAACACTCATACACACCAAACGATAAAACAAATCTTAAAAAGAGAAAAGGAATACTGGGCTAGTGTCTATTGGTAGAAACATGACTGAGATATAGTTGACATTAGAATCGGAAGCAAAACAGTTAGCCAGCCATGTGTGACTTCAAGTAAAATTGAGTCTTTTATAATGAGTAGATTCTGATGCATGCAGGATGCACACATAGTTGTTCCGATGTAGCTGAATTGCTGAGGGTTTAAACAAGCTTCCTGTATTCTGTTTGGTTTTTCTTCCCTTCAGGTTTATACAACCTCCTACCCGAGTTTACAGCAGGAAAAGGTGCTCAAATTTGTTCTGGTTGGGGAACTCCTGATACAAGTGGAACGCTTGAGGTTGAGACACCAGCGGATGCTGAGGGAGCGGGAGAAGGAATTGGACCCTAAGCCTGGGGACATGGACTTCTCCCAAGCCCCCCACCTACTGCTGGGAGAGGTCTTCACAGAGGCTGAGAAGGCCAGGATAGACAGTTCTCCCCAGCCCTTCTGTGAAGGAGAGAAGTTTTACATACCCCTGCGGAGACTGCTTGCTTATCCCAAGCTGCACCGCTTATGTGTTGACGAAGAGAGGATGCGGTCCCTCATTGCTGATTCAGTGTGCTTAAGCAGCGACAGTTCTGCAGTCGTGGTTGACCTGCATAATTCTTGGGATTATTGGCCTGAAGATAACTGAGTCATCTGAATTTCCCAAAGCTCAGAGTCTCTCTGATAGTTAAGTTGGCTTACGATTCGAACTTGTTTGGTGCTGGGAATTGAACTCAGGTCCTTGTGCATGGTAAGCAAGCACTCTGCCACTGAGCTACATCCTCATCCGTAGGATTTAAACTTTGTACAGTCATAATTCAAGTAATATTTTGAAAGTTTGAACACAGATCGGGTCCTGAACTCATTGACAGATCTGCCTGACATAGGCTGTTCTTCACCTGAGAAAGGGCTTAACTAAAGTAGTTGCTTTCCTTTAAAATTAGATTTTAAAAAATTGGTGTTTACAAGAATGAAGAAATTGGATATGGTAACGTGTTAATTTTGTCCTCACCCATATTTTGGTGTTAGAGCCATATGTTGAATGTGACATTAAAACATTTGAATGTAATCAAAGCCACTTGAAAACCTTTCCCAGGACTGGGCATAGAGGCCCTTACCTGTAATCCTAGCACCTGGATGGATTCCATAGGAGGAGCATGGGTTTGAGGCCAGCCTGGGCTACATGGTGAGACCCTGACTCAAAAACAAAAACCAGTTCCTCTGCCCAACTTTTTCTAGGGGTGATGTAGCTTAAAAATCTAGAATTATCCTTTTACTTGCATAAAACATTATATGAAAAAGGAACATGGGTGTTTTTTGAAGGGTATGGAAATCTCCTGCGGTAGTCCCTGTCCACATTGTGTGCACTAGTGTGTGTGTCTCTGTGTGTGTGTGTCTGTGTGTGTGTGTGTGTGTGTGTGTGTGTGTGGTGCTAGAGGCTGAATCCCAGGGCTTTGTGCATTTTAGGCAAGTGCTCTACCATTGAGCTACAACCTCAGCCACATAGGAATGCCCTCCCAGAGCTTTCTGGCTGGAATTGGGGTGGTAGTTAACTGCAGGAGAGAGAAATGCGACTTTGTTTAATGAAAAAGAAAAGGGGCCTCAAAAAAAAGTCTTCTTGCTTGAGGCATGGCAGTCCAGAGGTTAAGTCCCCAGGAGTGGCTGCTCTGCGGTGCCAGAGCTCCTGGTGTCCATCTTGATAACTGTGGCAGAGACGTGGATTAACCTGGGGTTCCTACTTGCATAGCCTATGCTCACCCTCGCAGAAAGGAAAGAGGTGGGGCTGCCCAGTGTGCTTTGCTGCTCGTTGCTAGGCAACACTGTTGCCACTTCCTGTGTGACAGTGAGGGAAGTTGAGAAGTCTATATTCTAAGGATTCACGTGCATACTCAGTCTCCCAAGGACCCGGAAGAAAATGGGCACTTTGACACACTGCCTAACCTCCCCGTGGTTGTTCTGTGGCTACAGAGTTGGTCCCTGGGTAAGAGCTCTGTGGACATTTATCCTTAAGCTGAGTCTTCAGGGGTTAATAAGCAATGGCGAGAAGGTTTTCATAGAGAAAAACCTTAATCGCGCAGGCACTGCTAAGCACCTGCCCTCTTTGAATCTTGTAGACGAATCCATCAGATTTCCATGTGCCTCAGGTCTAGGCAGACACGACCTAGACAGAGGTTTGCATTCCTCTCGACATCTGAATGCCCATCTCCACCTTTCTAAGTCTGTGCCCGAGGTTTGCCTTAGGGCTCCCTGCTCATCATGGCTCCTTGCTGAAGTCACATTTTCTAGCTAGGTAAAGCCCTTGGCCATATCTTCCCCAAAGTTAGTCCATCTCTTGACACCTGATGACTTGATGCCTCTCCCACAAACCCTGTATGAGCTTCCAGCTACAGTGGGGACTAAACTGCTCTTTCTTGTGTACCTACACTTCCTGCACCGACCTCTCCCTCTTCCCCAGAGCTGCTAGGCAGGCGCTGTACCACTGGGCCACACTTCCAGCCCTGGGCTTGGTCTTACATCCCTAGTTTGTGTTCACTTCCCACTTCGATACACGCCTTTCTTTGCACATCAGAAGGTTTAGTCAGTAGCCCTCTGCCCTTTTCTCTCTCCCCTGGTGCTGGCAACGTACGTCCGGTGTGTGCCGTGCTGGTGCTCTACCACAGAGCCTCACCTAGCACCGGCCCTTGTCCTAAAGCCACACCCTTACCCTTTCGAAGCCTACGAAGACCCTCTGTCTAAAGAGTGAGGAAACTAGAGACTGCAGTAACTGCAGAAGCAAGCCAGACTAGTGGGGGTGTGCCTGTCATCCCAGCACCTGGCAAGCGGAGACAGGAAACAAAACCCAAAGGAATAAAAACTGTGCAAACTGTGCAAATTATTTCCCTTATTACAGCACTAACAATTGAAATTATTAAAGGAAAGGTATAGTTCAGAAGTATATAATCTAAAATAAAGCTAGCAATACGTTAATTCTTTTTATCCTCAGTACCCACCATCTCATAGCCTCCTGGGGGCCCCTGGCTTCTCCCATTCACTGCTTCCTGAAGAGCAGCTCTGCCCACCCTTCTGCATAGAACCCAGTTGATTGCCATGCTTTGTATCAACTTCCCCCAAATGGCCAAAGTGCATGAAGTTTTTACATTTATTCTTTTACTAGTAGGTATTTTAAATGTTTATTTTTAAAGTCTTATGGTTATTTGTGTGTATCCGTGGGTATGTATGCACATGTACTTGCATGGTTATTTGTGTGTATCTGTGTGTATGTATGCACATGTACTTGCAGGGGTCTGTGGAGGTTAGAAGGGGACAGTGGTTCCCCTGGAGCTGGAGTTGCAGGCAGTCGTGAGTCACCCAGTGTGGGAGCTGGGAATTGGATTCCAGTCCTGTACAAGAGCAACAAGTGCTCCTAACCACTGAACCTTCTCTCTAGCCTCTACTGTATGTTTCTGATGCAGCTTTGTCATTAGCGATTATAAAATGCAACTATGTGCTCCATTCTGTATCGACAACGTGTTCTTTTGCAAAACATTCACAGCTGTGTATAGAAATTCATGCTGAAATTCCTCAATTGCACTATTTAAAAATTTTATTATTTTGTGTGTAGGGTGTTTTGCTTGCATTTGTGTCTGTGAACCCTTAGAGGTCAGAAGAGGGCATAGGACCCCCTGGAACTAGAGGGAGTTAAAGACAGTTGTGAACTGTAACATAACATGGGTGTTGGGAATTGAACCTTGGTCCTCTGGAAGAGCATCCAGTGCTTTTAACCACCAATACCCCTCCACCCCCAATTACTCTTGAGAATGCAAAGAAATGTTCCTAAAGAGCTTGCCCTTCCTATCCTTCCTAGAGACAACTAACAAATACTCCTTGTTCTCAATTCACTAAGTGTAGATTCCAGTTTTGCAAGGACTAATGACATTTTGGGGGACAGGTTGTTTCTTAACCCACCATCCCCCTACCCCAGGTATTTCATGTGAATGAGTCACATAGCTTTAAAAAATTATTTACTTAGCCATGTGACTGCTGCCTGAGGTCAGAAGAGGGCATCGGATTCCCTGGAACTGGGGTTGCAGACAGTTGTGAACCACCATGTGGGTGATGGAACTTGAACCCAGATCCTGGGGGAGCAATTGGTATTCTTAACCACTGAGTCATGCCCTGGGCCACATAGTTGCTGAGTAATTTAAGATGTCTATTCTCCAATGATTAAATTACTGTTTGTGGCAATGAAGAAACATTTGCCTAAGTAAGTTTTCACTGCCACTCACCAGAGTCCATATTCCCAGACAGTGTATGAAACATGTTACCAGCCATAGCCTCCAACTCCTACTTCCAGTCTGGGCAGTTCTAAAACCTAGCTTTCTGCTAATACGACAAAATACCGAGGTAGCTAAAAAGAGAAAGGTTTTGTTTCGGCTTTCTGTCTTGGAAGTTCCTGTTTGAGATCATTTCTTTCTGTTGTTTTGGGCCTGTGGCAAGGCAGCACATGCTGGTCAGACCTCATGGTACAGCAAAACCACTCCCTTTTTTAGGCAGGAAGCAGAAAAGAGGAAGGAACCATGGTCTCAATTCTACAGAGGCACACCCCCACTAGCGTAAGATCTTCCAGGATGTTCTACCTCCTAAGGATTGTATGACTGCCCAGCACCACCACCCTGGGGCTCTCTGGGAGACATTCAAGAGGGAAATGATAGCAAGAACTTTTAACAATTTCTGTGATTTCACAGAAGCTTGTTTTCCCGGCATTCTTTGAGTTCAGGTTGTGTCTTTATTATTTGTACGTGAGACCTGGCCCTTCAGTGTCTCCATGAGACTCTCACAGCAGCAGTCGAATTCCCATCTGCTCTGATGTTCAATCTTCCCTTCAGTAGCATTCCCAGCAGGCACTGCAGCTTCCATAGTGTCCTCAGCCCTGTCAGTGGTGGCCAAGGAATAATTCCAATTAAGGCAGTTTTCTCCATTGGATTGAGTTTTAAGGACAACACTCACCATCCCTGGTCCCGTGCCTTGTGTTAAGCAGCTGCAGGAAACCATGGGCTGAACACCATCAGCAACGGTAAAAGAATCTTCCAAAGACTTTAAGAACAATGCATTTCCACCTCGTGCAGGATGCTACACAAACAGTTTATCAAGATACACATATATGCAATGGACATTTCTGTGAAAACTTAGGAAAAAATAACATTTGGGTACAATGTTGAGACATCACAAGCTGGTGGGAGTTAGACGTTATAGAAATTTGTACAGCAAATAATACTTTTTTGAAGCTCCACATGCTGGTTATAAACTCTACCCCCTGCAAAAGTTAACATGTCACACCCCCTACATATTATCTGCTGGGTTCTTAATGTTCCTGCTGGTGTGGGGTATCCACCTGTTGTGGGTTACCCTGCTTGGACACCCCTTGGGGGAGGGGGTGAGAAGATGTAGCACCAACAACTCAAGCACTGGGAGTCAGTGAGTAGCAGAGCGTGCTGCAGACTTGTTTATAAGGACGTTAGAACTGCCTTTATACCCCATCCCAAGGTCTTACTGGCTCAGGCAGCTGACTCTGCTGCATTGTCCTTTCCTCATTGGTGACTCTGGTCAGGTGTCTCTCTGTCAGCAGTCTCTGGGCCTAGAGGCAGGTTTGGCTCAGGGAGGAAATACCTGCCCAGAATGCTCATGCATGCTGGCCTGGGCACCCTACATCCACCACTGCTCAGACATGGGCTTAAGCCAATAAAGAGTCTTAGACTGAGTGTTTGGGATCCCGGTGTAGCACCGAGCCTTTCTTAGGGGGAGTTTTTAAGCACAAATCTCGTGTTATGGGTTGACATACTTCACTTAACAAGAACAGCCAGAAGCAGAGCTGCAAGAAGCCAGAAAGCAAGGTTAGTGCACTTAGAGATTTCTCAGAGCTGTGGACTTTGATGGGTGAGGCCTTTTTTTTTTTCCAAGACAGGGTTTCTCTGTAGGTTTGGAGATTGTCCTGGAACTCTCTTTGAAGACCAGGCCTTGAACTCACAGAGATCCTCCTGCCTCTGCCTCCTGAGTGCTGGGATTAAAGGTGTGCACCACCACTGCCTGGCGAGGTCTTTGTTTTTGTTTTGGCAGGTAGTACTGTCTATGTGCTGAGTTTTACAGCCTGAATGACACTTTCATCATGGAGTCAGTTATGCTAAGATCTGGAGGCCCATTACACCTGCCAAATTGTATATACATTTTGCCAGCATTCCTTTGTTTTCAACACTGTAGTTATCTTTTTTCTAACCATTTCATTCTGCAGTCTGTGATTCAGACTAGCATATTTAGTCAAATTAAGTTAAATCAGTTTCTTTGCTCCTAGAAACACTGCAACTACATCTACACCTTAGCCTTGACCCATCGGACTCTGGGTGTTCACTGAATGGCGCTTGTGTTTCCACTGTGGTGGCTGTGTCCAGGCCTATCTCTACGTGTGCCTTATATCATGGTTTTCATTTGGTGCTTCCTGGTAGGTCTCCTCAGCCCCTTCAGAACCTTGCATCAGTCCCATACCACAGGAAGCGTTTCACCTTATTTAAGCATCGTGGGGAGAAGACTTGCTAAATTTTTCTTGGCAGATATTTTAAATTATTTAAAATCACTACTGAAAAAATATCCAATATGTTCTACCCCTACTCTTTGGTTTTATTCCAAGGACTATATATGCAGACAGAGGATCACTTGGGAGTCACTAAATCCAATGCCAGAAGGGGGCACACTTTCCCTAAAGTAATTGCATACACTATAGCTTTGACTTGCTATAATTATAGCTAAGCTACAAAGCGAAGCAAATGAACAGCTCAAGAAGACAGCCCAACTTAGCAGAGCCGTAATTGCATAGGAATGTGTCTAAAGCATATCATACAGAAATGCCTTTGACTGACATTTCCTTGTTACACGGTTTCACATAGACCAGATATCACAGATGCAGGGAATGTCTAAATTTGACCCTGTCCAGTGTGCTTTGTAACTGTTACATAAACATGGGCTAGATTAATTTCACCATGGTTTTCTTCCTCATCCACTTGGAAACTTTGATTAGTTGTCTTAGCTTGAGTTTTCTGTTGCTGTAATAAAGGGTTCGTTTGGCTTGCATTTCCATAGCACAGTGCATCATTATCAAGGCAGGTCATGGCAGGAACTGAAGCAGAAGCCATGGAGGAGTGCTGCTTCCTGGCTTACTCCCCATGGCTTGCTCAGCCCGCTTTTCTATACAACCCAGGCCCACCTCTCTCCACGGCTGGGTACTCCCAAGCCCAAGATCAATCAAATAAACATGCCGCAGACTAATCTGGAGGAGGCATTTTCTCAGCTGACGTTCACTCTTCCCAGGTGACTCTAGCTGTGTCAAGTTGACAACAAACTAGAAAAGTGAGTGGTTGAAATAGGTAGAGGAAAGAAAAGGGAAAGGTCAGAAGGAGGAAAACCACCAGAGGCTGAGAAAAATGGGAGTTCTGAGGGTAGGTCAGAGACCCTGCCTGGTTTTGCTATGGTCTGCTCCAAGTTAACCTGTGTCCTGGGGATGGTTTGGAGACTCTTCCCTGTAGTGCCTACACTGTATCCTCTCCCACGAACAAGTTGGATGCTTAGTGGTCAGTCCTTTCATGAGCTTCACTGTCCAGGGCCCTGACAACGGGCAGAAGGATCTGACTCAGACTCTTAAGCACAGCTCTGTATTAACTTTCAGTTGCTGTCTCAGCATCGTCAGAGGAGGGTGCTGGGGTTGCATTTCCTTTCTAAGGGGTCATTGTAGCCAGTGGTGAGAAAGGTCTGGGCAAGGATGTGGGTGACTCTGAATGTAGTTATTAAAAAACCTAACTCTTAATATTTTTTTGGCCGAACTTTAAGAAGTATCTTTATGACAAAATTAAAATCTATTGAAGCCCTTTATCCTACCCAAAGCATTTACAAATATGGGTAGCATACCAAAAGCATTTGTAAATATTTAAAAACATCTAATTGGAAATGGTAAAAGATAATGTCCACAGATGTAAGACCCACTGGCGAGAGACAGTGAAATCTTTAGCCAGGACAGTTAGAAGATTACTGTACTATCCAGAAGTTTTAGCTTAATTCCTATGCTTAACAGGGAGGAAGCAAGACTTTTATGGTTCAGCGCCCATGGTAAACTGTCCCAGGCAACAACAGTTTCCCATGTGTTTGAGTTCAGGTGACAGGGAATACTTCTGTCACATCAGCCTTTAAATTCCTGCCTATTTTCCTCTCTCCTTTTCATCACAATGTTAGTTGGGAAGCTTCTTTGAATGTAGCATGCCAGTGGTCACTGGCTGGTGCCTGTCAAATTTAACTGCCTGGATCACATCTGAACCTGATTTAACTTTCACCGAGGATCGCTACTGGTTATCCATGACTCCTACTTAATGAAAGAGGCAGGGTAACTGTATCCTAGGAAGAGTTCCATTGGCTGAAGTTGCAGGTAATCTGTAGTTATTGTGGACACTTGGCTAACTTTTGCCTGGAGCCAGGCTGCAGTACAGACTACAAACCATTGGCTAGGTCCTCCTAGTGCAGCACAGGTCTTTTATGACTGTGAACCTCAGGTCAAGGGCTCAGAGAAAACAGGATTTCTCTCTTTTTTTTAAAAATCTTTTAAGGCATGATAACTCTCTGTAGTCCAAGCTGTCTTGGAAGTCAATATGTAGTGATCCCCCTGCCTTCTGAGTGCAGGGATTTGAGGCATGAACCCATACCTGACTTCCTACTATTTTAAAAAGTAGCGGGCTGGGGAGATGGCTCAGTGGTTAAGGATCTGCGTCCTGTTCCTAGGGGTTTCAAGTCTTCTGGCCTTCATGAGTACCACACTGACATGTACAACCCCTCACACACATAGATGAAAATAATACAAATAAAACCTTAAAAAGATTAAGATCATCTAGACCTTTGAGATACTGCTTTTATTTAACATGTATAAGATCCACTTTTACATTATTACAAACATTTTACAAACAAAACTTTATTTTGTTATAAAACATTTCCTGGATTTTTATCACTGTCTAGTTAAAACATAAGACATACAATATATAAATATGAAGGTCATTCTCCAAGTATTAGAACAGAATACTGATGGAATCACTTCATTTTCTTTTTTTCAGCACTGAGGACCAATCCCAGGTCTTGCACATGCTGGGAAGTTCCTTACTGCCGAGCTATTCCTCAGCTACTAATAACACATTTCATAAACACTGGGTAAACCTCCAAATGATTAAATAATGTAGAAGAAGGTAATTCTCAAGACATATTGTCAACATTAATCAAATTCTTCTATAGTCTGTCTTTCCTTACATTGAATTGGCCAATGAATATTGGTGAAAGACTTATATAAGATAAACATACATATTTAAAAATACAGAACACATTGTAAATCAGATTTTTTTGAAATCAATTTTGTTGTATGGAGAGACCACCCATATTACCATCTAAAATAGTTTGTGTATACATATTCTGACGAAGTCACATGGAGAAGGGAATAAGGCCTTGTTTCCAGGGCATTCTTAACTTAGGCTTACTACAGAAATATTTCATCCCTACAGCTCAACTACTAACATTATGCACAGTACCTAACTAAGCCAGTATAAACAGTGACCTAACAGTCTCAGCTACCCTACTTGATTATATTCACAAGACGTACCATCTAAAAGAACTGAATTTCTGAAATGCCCAGAGGAAAGACTTGTGAAGAAAACAAAACAATCCCGTCATATGAGCTCACTGCGTCTCTCGGAGATTTGAGTTAAACATGGAAGCCTTCAGTGAAATAGTTTATGAAACTGTCAGTTTATGCTTCAAAAGTGGTTAATTAACATGGAAATCTGAGAGTCTGGAATTGCCTCTGGATGCTTTGACATCAAAACTCAGTGCTGCCTGATTAAAAAAGAAGTTTTCTGAGTCAGGGCCTCATTTTGGGCTCATGACTACCTTGGAGCCCAGACTGCCCTTGAACTTCAGTAGATCCTGTAACCCAGGTTATCCTTGAACTCATAGTTCCTCCTGCCTCAGCCTCCCAATACTGGGCTTACAGGTGTGACCCTGGATTTGAATATGTTTTGAATGGAGATTAGTTGAAGATATTTTTTTTCCTTTTAGTAACAAAGGAGTTAAGTGGTCAACTTCTGTGGCTCACAGTTTTACACAAACAGAACAACAACAACAAAATGAAAAACAAAAACCATGTACAGAAGAGTCTAGTTTGGATATTATTCTCATGGGTTTACGCTGGAATGAGATGGAGGATTTAGGGTTGTTGGTCAAGACTTTACCATCAAAGGTGTTCATCTACATTAGTTGTTTGTACTCAGAAGCCTTCAATACCACCACAAGAGGGAGCCCACACTCAAGTGTAAACCGATGCCTCAGGGCCTTCCCTGCCTTTTCCTACACTTCACAGCCTGTGGCAGGAGTGCTCCTGACTGGCCTGTGCCATCTTAGATGTTTAGATGTTTTCTTCTCACCACAAACACTAGCTTTAAAGAGTGCCGTTGGTCTTTTCTATAGGATAGAAGAAGAAAACAATTCATACCTAAAATTCTCTAAGTGATCTAAATATTAAAAAAGTAATTTGTTAAGCCTCTACTTTTCCAAGCCTATTGTTTTCTAAACTCAAAGCAGAGTTACAAGAAGACAGTACCTGGCAAACAGCTTTTAAACTAGCCTTGTGGCTGACAGACTGACAGTGGATGCCCTGTAGGAAGTGAAGAGTAGGAAGGCAGGTACTCGAGGACCCCTTCACATTCTGATAGGACTGGACTGTAATACGAATGCAGAACATACCTCGGAACTCTAGGGAAGGAGAATCCATACTTCTGCTGACCATAGCATCGCAGATAGTCTTTCGCCTTCCAACCCAATGTTGCTACTTACTAAGTGATTTTTTATTACTTAACAATATATAAATGATTATTTAGTAGCTGCTAAAATTAAAAAGGCGTAAGATCTCTTCACATTTTTATTTTTCCTTTTTGAGATAGGGTATCATAAGTCTAGTTTGGCCCCTAAGTCACTATGGAGCCAAGAATGACCTAGAACATCTGATCCTCCTGCCTCCCCCTCCCAAGTGCTGGGGTTACAGGTGTGCACTACCACACACAGTTTTTGTACTGAGGCTTTGTGTGGTTTAGGCTAACATGAGCTATATTCCCCAGCCCCACGCCTTTTATTTTTCTAAAAAAAAAAAAAAGGATTCTGTACCATTTAAAATACCAAGACCTAATCTTGTGTAGACAGAGGGCCAGGGGCAGCCAGGCTAAGTAGGGCAGCCACTCTGCCCTGATTACAGCACCCTGTGTGTGTCTGATGGGTGGTCTCAGTGAACCATGCTCACAATCCAGCGTTATCATCCTCTTTAGAATTCAAAATCATTTGCAGAAGTGCCAATAAAAACATAGCTTAGAAATTATATTTTAAAATAGAAAAATATGCTTTTAAAATTGTCAGACTAAACCTCTCTAAATAATATCCCCATTGTCTGTAGTTAAATTTTTCTTTGATCTTTCTGTAACAGACAATGGATCAGTTCACTTGAAAACAGACAGCATGCCCTCACCTATCTAGATAACTTCCTCCCTGGCAAAGATGCTCATGTCAATGTCCCAGTCTCCAAATATATCTTAACATGGTATTCAAAATACTCTAAAACAGGGTGTCATTTTTTAAAATCAGCATCTATTCGTAAAAATAGTTTTGGATTAATGTAGACTACCCAATTCTTTAGATACTAAAATAAAAATTCTAACGGGAACAATTTCAATTTTCCAAACTTTCCAATCTGGATACTCAAACATTGTAACTCTGTCCTTACTTTGTCAGCATAAAAAGATCCATTCTGTGCTGACCTATTGTGTTGTCAGACATGATTGTGAAGGTGAGGACTGGGGCATTGCTGGCTCTGTACCTCCTCCTGCTTCTTTTCAGCTAAGAGAAGTTTAGCTCTCTCTACCTGGGCACTGCCAAAACCAGAAAAACTGCAGCTCTGTGCTGTGCTGTTTCCATGGACCCAGACCCAAAGGGCTGTATTAGAGGTATGTTACAGTCTACTCTGGCTTCAGACCGCAAAATCTGACAGTAAAGAAAATGAGAAGTGCCACAAGCAGCCACTCAGATGTCTGTCCATCAGCACTGCACGGCTAAGCGTCAGTTCACGGAAGTCTGGCTTCCTTAGAAGGGGGCCATTTTTCTGATCATCTAACAGTTTCCCTTCTGACTGCTGAGACCAGCAAGTCTTAGCACTGAATGGATCATGAAACAGCTTTTCTCCTAGCCTGCCTATGTAGCCTAACCTGCCTAACCTATTAAGTTTACCTTGACTCTTACGGAGTGCTACTGTGGCTTTTGCAGTTTATCTAATATTAGTGAGAAGGAACAATGTATGCCGCACAGTCACAGCATTCCTTCCATCCAACTGTCTCAGACCTGGACACACCTGTTATATTTGACTTATGTCTGATATGAAGTATTTAAAATGTTTAAGTTACAACATTTTCCTAAAGCATGACACCCACTTCCTGTCAATTATTCCAATTATTGCATAAAAAGAGTTAATATACTTTGTACAATGCTATAGGTAACAGGACATGGAAGATTTACTTAATAGTAATTACAATTATTTTGATAGCATTTATGGGTTTAAACTGACTTCACATACTGTCTCTTAAATGTAAAATTCAAAAACAGAGCCCGACCTGTTGAGCACCGCTGGCTTGGATTTTCATGTTGGAATACCACAATCACACTCAGGTGTGTCTAGTGCCATCTTCCCCTGGGGTGCCTTGAAAGCACAAGCAGACTGGGTGCTGAGGCAGGACAGGCCTTCACCCTCCATTCACAGGCTTCCCTGCAGGTGAGTGTCTTGGAAAGGATGGCGGAGGGGGCTTTGAGAAGGAATCAGCATTGCTTTCCTCTTCGCAGATGAACTTCACTTTGAAAACAGATTCGTCCTTTTTCTTACATGCTTGACTAAAACACCTTGAAACACCTGTTGTCCACAGCTCACATACACAGGGAAGCTTCTGTCCGTTGATGTCACCTCTAGCGTTTGATCACAACCTGCTCATAGGCTCCAGATCCTACCCTGAAACAGCAGTGAGGGAGATACTTTCAGAGCTTGAATTGTAGAGGTGGCAATTTATGGAGAAGTTTTCTCCCAGGTACACCAGGTGGTTTTCTACCTCCTCCATCTCTTTCCCTCTCCCTCCTCTTCTCCTCCCTCCCTCCCTCCCTCTTTTTGAGACAGGGTTTTTCCCTGTATCCCTGGCTGTCCTGGAAGACCAGGCTGACCGTGAACTCAGTGATCCACGCTGCCACTGCCTCCCAGCTCCAGGTGGTTTTCTACTGAGTTTATTTTTACAAGGCTTTAAAGGTTTCACGTACATAGACACACAGACAGTCCTAAAATCAGTCTCAGCTAGGGCAGTACATCGGGTTTTCACGGTGTTAATGATGACAGTCTGTGGCTTAATGTCTTTCCAGAAAGTGTAAAGCCTTTTCTTTCCATTCTCTCTCCCTCCCTCCTCCCCCTCTCCTCACACCTCTCCCCGCCGTCCATTTCTTGTCTTTCTCTTTTTCCGACAGGGTTTCAAGTAGCCTAGGCTGCTCCATTCCTCTCTATGTAGCCAAAGATGGCTTTGAAGTCTGATCATTCTTGCCTCTGCCTCGTAAGTGCTAGGATTATGAGTGTTAGAACTCAAGAGTCCCTTTCGTCAATATGTAGATGGCTTTACATAGGGCCAGCATTGTGAATCCCACCCCTGTGGAGACTGGAAAGGAAAGTGTTCTTGAAGAAGGGTTTATTTCTCTAGTATCTCGGTGTAGAAGACTATTGGTTGTCACCCATCCCCGTCTCTTCTCTTCTGTGTAGTTAACCTGGCTGGAGACTGTTTCCTCAACTCCCCTGTGGTTAGGTGTGGGCCATGTGTTTCTCCAGGAAACACAAATGAAGAGATGTAGCAAGTCTCTCTAGCATACAAAAAGTTCTTACCCTGGGTTGGTAGCTCCCCGGCAGTCCAGGAAGGTAAACTAGTAAGTGTTTCACTTTTTGGAACAAAGCTGTATTGTCAGCCAGGCCATTGCATCCTTGGGTTTCTGTGCTACAGTCTTTAATGTACTATGCCATGTACGAACTGACCTCTAACAACAAAATATACTAAATAACTTGATTTGCAAGCTTTGTGAATAAAACCATTCTGAGATAGCCTATTAAACAATGGCTTCATCCACAGTAGACTTTCTGTGGCTACTGTTATGACTTGGTTCTGTGACGTCCAGGAAGGAGCTTGCATCTTCCTGCTGCTGTTCTTTGGTCTGGCAGAAGAAACATTCTCACCATGTCTTTTAGATAGCAGCTAGCTTTAAGCTGCTGAATTGGGTCAGAATTCTGCCTTTTCCTGGAAACATCTTGGGTGATCAGGAGAACTTCAGTGGCAGTGCTTCATGGAGGCGAGGGTCTCACTGATAAAAGTTATCAGTAGGTGCCTATTTCCTCATTTGTCAAGGTATCAGAAACCCTATACCCCAAACCCAGTGCTTTACTCTGAGTGTACAGAATTTAATAATCCTGGAAGCAACCACTATGGCTGGACTCATCCCTTGGAGGCATTATGCGAGGTGTTTGCGGTATGCCTTTTTCCTCTAGTATAACATGACTAACCCATTCCTTCCTATCACACAGCAGGGATAACACTGCACTGTAGTTATGGCAACGAAATAAGTCAATGCAGTGGCAACAAGGTCTATGGGAATACAGTTGGGCTTTTAATAGAAGGAAGGAAGGGAGGGTCACAAGACTCTCACCTGGGGTTCCATCGACCATTCCCTCCTGCATGTGCTCTTGAAAGATGCTAGGGCATATAGGGGGTGGAGGGTTAACTGAATTTGGGCTTCTGGGGGGGCTGTCAGCCATGATGGAGTACAATTTCTTGGTGATGCAGCTGCTATGAGTCACTCCTGCTTTTGTAATCCCAGGAAGCTCACTGGTTCAGCAAATGGGATGTGGGGAGAATTGTTAGTCTGGTCTGTTGTTGGTGCTGTATCTTAGCATATAGAAGATAAGAATGGCATTTGAATGTCAGAATACCAGAAGGAAGCACGCATATGTGGGGAATAATGGCTGGAGAATTTTCAATCTGATGAAATCTAAGAAGGCCAGTGAAACTGCAACAGAATAATCACATCCAGCCACATCTCACTCCAACTTCTAAGAAACCAGTGACAAAGAGAAAATCTGTCTGGGTGTGGTGGCATGGGACTTCATTCTTAGCACTCAGGAGGCAGAGGCAGATGGGCTTTTGTGAGTTTGGGGCTACCCTGCTCTACATAGTGAGTTTCAGGCCAGTCAGGGCTATACATTGAGACCCTACCGCAAAAATCTTAAAAAATGTCCATATAGGGACTGGAGAGATGGCTTAGGAGTTAAGAGTCATTCCTGCTCTTCCGGAGGACCCGAGTTCAGTTTCCAGCATTTACATTGGGTGTCTCACAACTGTCTGTAACTCTGCTCCAGAGATATCCAATGTTCAATTCTGTCCTCTGTAGACTGCCCCCACCCTCAACACACACACACACACACACACACACACACACACACACACACACACACACACACACACACATACATACACACAGACACACATAAAAAATCTTTAAAGCAGCCACACATACAAATTATACAGAGAAAATTAAAAATAGAAATGGAAGCACACGTCTTGTTTGAGAAAGTGAAATATCCCTAAGGTCAAGAAAGGTCAATAACAGCTTGGCTGCTGAGTGTGTGCACAGCTGCTCACAGAGGTAAGAGCACTCACTGGCTGACAATGCTTGCTTTTTTCTGTCAAAATGTCAGGCTAAAATTCTATTCCAAATATTCTTTTTATGTTACAATTGTCAGTGCTCTACTGTCCAATATGTTCTAAAACAACATTAAAATAAGACAACAAACTAACATAGAGTATAATGTTGAAGACATCCAGGAAAGGAAAGAGTGTTCCAGTCTTCTCAAGCACAGCCTCTGCCCTATTTCAGTCTCAGCACAATGAAGACTGCAACCTTTGTCCTTTACCTGTGGTTTTCTTTCAGAGTCCAGGCGACTCACTATGTAGCCGAGGATGACACTGGGCTCCTGAACTTTTGGCTTTCACTTCCCACGTGCTGGGACTATAGGAGGGAGCCACCACACTTGGTTATGTAGCTTCGCTTTTGCTAGGCAAGCCATCTAACAGCAGAGCTACATTTCCTCTCCTCATATTAAGACGGTCTGTTTTAGCAGAATGTTGTTTGGTGGGTAACATACCTGTTTGGAAGGTGATGGCTGCCAAAGGTTGTACTTCCCCCAGGCCCCACAAATAACCTCAGTCCTTCTTCTGCAACACACAAATTGGAATGCTTGTTAAACATACAGTTATCAGATACTATCAAATAATATGAATATTGTAGTAACCCAGATTTTACATTTATTAAATGTATCCAAGTTTTATAAAGGCTTTGAAAGAGACAGCTGGAAAGGTGGCCTATAGCTCCTTACCAGCTTCCCCAAAGCTTTTTCTCTGAACAGGAATGACAGCTCTTTCTACACATTTTCATGAGGTTTAATTATTTCTATTTTCAGCCAGTTACACAACAAAACAGTCCACTGTTAAGTGTTCTCTGTTCCACCAGTGTGAGTAATTGCACCTTTCAAGTCGGTAGCATATAAATTCCCAGCTTCTGTGGAAAATGAGAGGAGAGACTCCAGGATTCCACTCACCACTGTTTCAAGACCACCACCCCAGACCTTCAAACTGGGCCAGGGACACGGCACTCAAAGTGTATGGACATGAGAGCTTTCTTTAAAACTCATCTCTGCTCCTCCACCCCCACCCCCTGTTTGGGGGACCGAGCCAGGGCCTCATACATTCTAGGAATTTGCTGTACTACTGAACCACACCCCCCTCATTTGATTTCTTCACTAAAGTTTGTTCTTTCTCCAGCGTCACCAGCCTTGGGCTTTGCTTTTGTGGGTGTGGAGTTAACTTTACACACATGCCATGGTAGCCCCGCCACGTGGGCTGACACAGCTGTGGACCACAGCGCCCGTACTCATCCGTTCTCTGCACACCTTCTGCACTGGAATCGAGGCTAAAGTCTTGACTCTGCAGGATTTTCTCCACGATGTCATCAGCATCCACTCTGGTGTCATCAACCCGCTTCAGCTGAGACTCAACAGAATCCTGCTTCACCGGGCACCTTTGAGAAGAACCACAGTTGTTTCCACCTTTTGTATTGCTCATGCTATGAAAATAAAGACGTAGAGTCCCCACGAGGGGGGGTACCTGGTGAGTTTCTCAGGAGCTTCTTCTTCTTTATCGGCTGGGTCAGGGTTTGGTTCAGCTGGGATTTGCTCAGTTTCATCGCATGGCTCCAGAATGCTTTCAATTCCTGTTGATGTACTTCCCACTGAGGTATTTCTTCGGTGGCAGAACTCGGAGAAACTGGATGACCGGGAGTGACATGTGCTATACCCTGCGGGTGGAAAAATGACTTTGGATGTATTAACAATATCAGACACACTACAATCTAACCTTTTCTTTCTGTATGTGTACACATGTTGATATGGGTGCATGCACACATATGTGCAGATGCACATGTGTGAATGTGTGTATAGAGGTCAGTGGTTGATTGTGTAGTCTCTGTCCCTGAGCTTAGAACTTGCTGATTTGGCTACAGTGGTCCTCGACGTCCTTCTGTCTTTGTCTTCTCAGTGCTTAGATTACAGGAACGAACTGTCGTGTCTGACTGTCATGTGATCGCTAGTGAGTGAACTCTGGTTCTCTTGCTTGCATGACAAGCACTTTACTGAACCATCTGTCATCTCTTTATCCCACACCACAGTAGTTTTAAGTTTATTCCTGAATTTTACTTTGTTTGGAGACGGACACCTGCTATACAGCAAGCTGGGGCTGACCTTGAACTTGCCATCCTTCTCTCCCAGTCTCTCCACTGTCAGGATAACAGGTATATACCACGACACCTGGCTTCAAGTCCCTTTAAAACAGTGGTTCTCAACCCGTGGCTCCCAACCCTTCTGGCAAACACCTATCTCCAAACATATTTACATTAGAGTTCAGAACAGTAGCAAAATTACACTTATGTAGCAACAAAAATAATGTTATGGTTGGGGTCACCACAGCATGAGGAGCTTTACTGAAGAGTCACAGCGTTAGGAAGGTTGAGAACCATGGCTTCAGAACAATTAGGAGTCGAATCCCACTATGGGCCTCTACCTGATACTTTGGACTGCTGGCTTGCATAGCTCGATGTTCTAGAATGTCCCCAGGCACCAAGTTCATCTGGAACAGAGGCACTCTTTGCTGAAAGATCTGCAACAAGTCAGGTGATGTTATTACTACCAAGTCAATGTCCAATTCATATTCTAACCTGAAGATTTTATTACTTCACAAGTTCATAATCAAGGAAAATGAATTATAGAGTGATAGATTCCTTCAAATTGGTACAATGAAAACAACTACATTGCAAGAAATGAAAGAATGCTTAGATATTTTAGTTCGTTCAATCAATCAATCTATCTATCTATCTATCTATCTATCTATCTATCTATCTATCTATCTATCTATCTACCTGACAGGGTCTCATATTAGCCCAGATATCCTTAAATCCACTCAGTAGTTGAGACTGGCCTTCAACTTCTGATCCTTCTTTTTTGAGATTACAGGTGTGCACCATCATGGCCCTGCCACTTGAGTACTTTTTGTTTTGATTTTAGGTAGTGCTGAGGAAATCTTACATGTTCAAAATTTACATTAGTAATGAAATAAAGGTCCTTTAATGCTTTAATGTCAGTCTTCCTATTTCTAGGCTATCCAGGGGGCAATGCTATAATTTAGCAACACAGCATAGGGTGTAGTACCCAGGATGAAAGTTCTTAATAAACTGGTTTCAAGGCTGGAGATGGCCCAGCTGTTTAGAGCACTGGCTGTTCTTCCAGTGAACTCTGGTTCAGTTCCCAGCACCCACACAGCAGCCCACAACCACCTGTAACTCCAATTCCAGGGAAACAATACCCTCTTTTGGCCTCTATAGGCACTGCATGTCCATGGTGCATAGCCATGCCTATACACAAAACACCCATACACTAAGAATGAAATCAATAAAATCTTAGAAAAAAGTATAAAAAGAAACTGGTGATAGCACAGTTTGAAAGTAAAAGGGCAAAGCAGTTCCAACACTGCTTCCAGTAGCTTCCAATGCATGTTCATAGTCTAGATAGCAATCACGTATTTGTAGAACTAGCCATCCTCCACAGGAGACAGAATTGTGACTGTTTAGCATTAGTGTAAAACACTTGGAAACTGGAACTGTTGTTGACTTAGGAGCAGAAGGAAGCAGTTGAGTGAGATAGTTGCTACAGCAGTAATTCTCCAAATGAGATAGATAGTACACAGTTGGGCCAACAAATGCTGCCAAACATGCAAGCCACTGGTCCTTTGTAAAGACTCATCATGTCCAGGCAGAATGCAAGGATCCCAAGTAACTCTCTACAACAGCCCTAAACCCAAAGGTTAGCTCCAACAAAACCCTCTCCAGGAGATAGTTCATGGAGATTCCTGTACACCCAAAATCTACCCCAGTGTTTGGCTCAGATCTCAGCCATCTGTCTCCTGGTTTTCAAAACGTTAAATGTATTTAATCCATATAAAAGTTTATTAAGCTCTTATCAAACTAGTTGTCTGTAGTATAGGTGAAACCGAGGCATTGGGGACACAAAGTAAATGAGACAAAACACATTCTCAAAATTTGGAGGTGGAAGCAAAGAGAATACAGTGTGTCCAGCATTAACCAAGGTATTAAGGACTCCAAAGGCCAGTGCATACAGTACTACATAGGAGGAGACCTCAGAGAGGAGGCTAGCTCGGGATCTGCCAATGCAGGAGTCTTTCAGCTCACTGAAGAGGGAAGGGCATAGGACACAACAAGCTTGTAGGGCAGCAAATGGCTTGGTGCAGTCCCCTGAGCAGTGGGGAGACGACCAGCCAGAAAAGAGGCTGAACGTGAGCACAGGCCAGCTGATGGAGACCTTTCTGTGAGCTGCATGAAAGAAATACTTCAATGACTTTAAACCAGCGTATGCCACTGCAGGCTATGCTGCGTGAAGATCATTTTAGTAAGGGGAGAAGCAGACTGGGGTGAAGAGCGAAGGTTTTTACTGTAAGCCAGCTGAGGGTGAGAGATGTTTAGCACAAATGGTGGGATCCAACTACTGTGCTAGGATACCTGAGCAGTAGGAGAAAGAGTTAGGCAAATCTGCACTGAGTATGTGATGTTGACAATCAATGCTCATCACATTCTGACCTGTCCCTGTCTGCTGGGTATAAAGCACCAACCACAAAGAATCCAAAGTCTGGGGAGAAAGATGAGCTCAACAACGTCAGTAATGATGTGTGTTGTGAAGTGGACCTTTCCCAAAATATTTGGAAACATATTTGTGAATGGAAAGTATTTAACAGACATTTATATTTATGAGACAGTTAATATAGGGGTGTAGATCACATTGCCCAGAAAACTAAGTAGAGGGGACCAAACCCCTGTGGAACAGCAACAATGGAGAGGAGGTAGGGGTGTTTTTATGCCTTAGTTTCTGTTTTTGAAGGACTGGGGACATAACCCAGGGCCTCAAGTGTACAGGCAAGTGCTCTATATCATAGCTATAGCTGGCACTTTAAGGACATTTCTTTTTAATTTTTTCGTTATTTGAGAATTTTGTGCATGCATATAGTGTGTTTTGATCAAATTCACCATCTATTCCCTCCTTTCCAATTCCACTACTTCTCTATCACTTTTCCCTACCAGCTTAATGTGCTGTGTTCTTTTTTTTTTTTTTTTTTTTTTTGGTTTTTACAAGACAGGGTTTCTCTGTATTGTTTTGGAGGGTATCGGTCCAGCCTGGCCTCGAACTCACAGAGATCCGCCTGCCTCTGCCTCCCGAGTGCTGAGATTAAAGGCGTGCACCACCACCGCCCGACTAATGTGCTGTGTTCTTAAATCTGCTGAATTCACTTAGTGCTGCCTCTATGTGCATGAGTGTAGGACCATCTACTGGAGCATGGGTAGCCTATGAGGGGCCACACCACTGAAGAAAACTCACTTTCCCTCCCCCGGCAGCCACCAATTACAAACAGATTCTAGCCTTTAAAAATTCATTACATTTATTTGTGTGTGTGTGTGTGTGTGTGTGTGTGCGTGTGTGTGCGTGTGCCATGTGGCACACACATGGAGGCCAGGCCAGATGACAACTAGCTAACTAGCTGTTGGCAAACATCTGTTTCCACCAGTGGGTCCTAGGGATTGAACTTGGGTCGTCAGAATTGGCAGCAAGCGCCTTTACTCACTGAACCACCTTGCTTGCTCAAGAAATCCCTAAGAACTGAGAAGAGGAAAAGTCATGAAGGGAGGAGACAAAGGAAGAAGAGGCTTCAAAGAAGAATTAGTGGCTGAGAACAGAAAAAACCCCACAGGATTTGGTGATCATGTAACTGTAGATATCACAGGATATAGACCAGATTGCAAATGAGTTTAGCAATAAATGGACAGTGTAATGGTTAACTCTCACTGCAAATCTGACTAGATCAGGAGTCACCTAAGCACACCTACCTGGGTGTGTCTGTGAGGATGTTTCCAGGGGGGTTAATTGAGGAGTGAAAACCCACCCTGAATGTAAGCAGAGCCATTCCCTGAGCTGAGATCCTGGACTGAATAAGAAAGGGAAAGAGGAAACGAGCTGAACACAAGCATTTATAGGAAACCAGCTGGACACGAGTATTCTGTCTCCTGACTGTGGGTGCAATGTGACCAGATAACTCCCATCTCACCACGACTCCCCCACAGTGACAGATTGTATCCCCTAGAACTGTGAGCCCAAATAGTCTTCTTTTGTCACAGCAATAAGAAAAGTAATGAATCCAAGCAGTATTGATTTCTAGATGTTTGTCTACACAACTGTGATGCATGCCCCAAATATGTATCCTCTTGATGATACTTCTCCATGTCTGTCTGCCTGCTTGCCTGTCTGTCTATCTATCCAACACCGGACAGCTGGAGTCTCGAAGACAACAGAAGACAGGGAAGATGGATATTATCCTACCATAAGGATAATAGGGTCTACTTTATATTTTCTTAGTATAGACAACAGCTCAGGATATTTACGTGCTGAGGGGGGAGTTAATGGAAAGCTTAACAGTATCCATAAGATTAGCTGATCCTAAATAAGAAATCCATTCTCAAATTACTTACAAGAAACCCTATCATTGCACATCTGAAAAAGCAGTGAAAATGTTAATACACTCTGCTCCCATAATTTGGGAGATAGAAGGAAACTCTTATGGCCTTTTCTTGTGGCCAGATTGGTACCCTGCTTACCCTGCTTTTAGCAACCACAGTAGAGTCTGCCTCTACTGGAAGCTGTCTAGGGAAGTGGATCTCAAAGAGTGCTTGGGACCAGCAGCTGAACTGGTGACTATTATGAAGTTCCAGGCACCAACTTGGATTGACCAAGTCCAAGACTGGCTGCTGGCACTGGCAGTATGGTTTAACACCCTCCACCCCCAGGAAAATCAAATGCACAGCGAGGCTTGCAAAGCAACAAGAAGGGAAACAGGAGAAGCAGCACCAAAGAGCTGACAGGTCAGTGTGCCAAGCATGAGGGAGGAATGGGGAAAATTGGAGGTTCTTGTGTTTGTAAGGAGTCACTGTCAGTGCACGTTACTTTAAATAAGTGAGTACTGGCTCAGCTGACACACTAACTGGCATATTTCAAGTCATGAGTGCATACAAATTTACATGTAGGTGGGTTGTAGGAAATTCTTTTTGCATTCATTTCTTTGTTTTTGTGTATGTGTGTGTGGACATGCATGTGTCACAGAATGCGTCAGAGGATAATCTGTTCTCTCCTTAAACTGTGTGGATTCCAAGGATTAAACTCAGGTCATCAGGCTTGGCGGCAAGCACCCTGGCCTGCTGAGCTGTCCTGACAGCCCCTCAGGTTTTAGGAATCTATTAGGAAATTAAATAGTATTGTTTTTCAGAAACTAAAGGATCAGGAAGCTATATGCTCATACCTGCTATTCCAAGATGCACTTTGAGAGTCTCTCCGCCTTTTCTATCCTCCTCCAGAGACTCGGGTTCCCCAGCGATTGGAATTGACATGGATGTGGAGGGAGGCCTGTAAACAGACAGTCTAAGGATCAGATTTAATCACATGTGAGCCTGAAGGTTTGAACTAGTCTTAGAGAGTCACTGTGTGGTCAGTACCTGGCCTTAGCAAGCTGCTTATTACAGTTAGCCTTTTAAGGATGAATTAGAGTTACAGATGGTTGCGAATAATCTTATGTGGGTGCTGGGAACTGAACTTTGGTCCTCTGTAAGTGCTCTTAACCACTGAGTCATCTCTCTCACCTGTGGAAAAGGGGCTTTTATATAACAAAACACTTGGAACATAAAGAGCAATGTCTCGTGGAGTTCTAGAGAGAGAATCCGATGTGGTGTCACAGTCCTGTAATTTCAGGTTGAGGCAGGAGGACAAGAAGACCAAGACCATCCTTGGGCACATAGCAAGTCTGATACCAACCAGGGCTATATGAGCCTCTATCTTATAGCCAAGGCAAACCCTTCAATAGTGCCTTTGGGACAATCTCCACCTCCTAGCCTGATGCCCAAGGCTCTTCACAAGTTCAACTCACACTAACATCTTTGATTACCAATAGTTGTATTTTGACTTTTGTTGTGATATTTTGGGGGCATGTATTTTGAGACATGATCTCACTCTGTAGCCCTGGCTGGCTTAGCAACCTGTATGTAGCCCAGACTGGCCTTGAAGTCATGAAGATCCTCCTGCCTCAGTTTTCTGAGTTCCAGGATTACAGGCTTGTGCCACCAGGCCCAGGTAAATTACATGTTTAAATAACGTAAGGAACTTGGTTGAAGAAAAAAAACTCCATTAAATATTTCATGGGAAAATACATAAAAGATTCATGCGAAGAACGGAGTCTACAATAACAGTCATAAATCATCAGTGATTGGCCTGTGTCTGCAAGCCTGGATTCTTAAATGTCAGTCTCCTCCCTTCCACAGGTGATTATAGCCACAACACATCTAACACTCCCATGAATGGGGCACTCCTGACCCGGGAGTCATTTCTGCTGAGTGCTCGGAGATGGGCAACTAGCATCAGACAGAGCAAACTGACCATGGGCTGTTAGTACAGCACACTCAGAATCTGAAGTCTTAACTAGGCTGCTGCAGTTCTGTTGCCAAGGGCAACCCAGTTCAGTGCCTCAAAACCGAGTGCCCACTGTGTGCTGGCTCTATTCTATCACTCCTTTTGTTCAAAAATGTATAATATTCTTTGTCAGGATCCCATGATACAGCATAGTTGCAGATGAAAGAAATGGGGATTATTTGAATTTTAAAGTAATGTTCACAGTCTGTGAAAAATGACCTCCTAAAATGACATCATTATCTACTGGGTGTTCCACAAATATCCTGTGCACCACAACAATGCCCTGTGTGACAGCCAACTTGTTTTCCCTGCCTGGAATGTCTCTACTCGACTGTCATGGTTAGTGTACACTCTTATTCATCATAACTTAGCCCAGTGCCACCCCGTCATCGAGGACCTTCTGTCTTTCAAGGAACAGTGGTGGTTAGAGCCCCCACTCTCTGCACACTCTTGCGTCGATGGGACAGCCAGCAGAGCAGGGCGTGCATCTCTCCGGTTGCTCTGTCTCAGTTTCCTCCTTGGTAAGGGAAGAATCTGCATCCCACCGGAAGGCTTTACAAATTCTCTTTTTAGATGTGGGTTTTGCTGTGCCTTACATCTGAGCTCTGAATCACCCCTCTTGTGGCTTCTCAGGAGAGAAACATTAACAAATGAACCGTCACACAATCTACCGCGTCTGTCCTTATTCCCATCGCAGCTCCCTCAGATTGTCTCTTTTCTACCCTTGCATCATAATTAGAGCATTTACTTTTCACCTGAAACCTCCATAGCCTTTTATCTTATTCAGAAGGTAAGTGGAGCCCTTACTCTAATGGCCCACAAGATGGCCATCTGACCTCATCTCCTGTTACCAAGCTCTTCACTCCCTCTGCTCGAGATAGGTAGGTCTCCAGGCAGTTACTTGAGCATTCTGGGAACAGTACTCTCTCAAGGCTTTGCTCCATATTCCCTCTACCTCGAATATTCTTTCCCTAAATATCCATGTTGCACGCTTCCTACCTCCTTCAAGTCTCTACTCGAATGCCATCTTAAGCAGGGAGGCCTCCCCTGATACTGGATATAAAATGGCAAAAGTTCTTTACAGCTCGCCCTGCTCCCCTGCTACTCCCTGTCAGAGCGCCTATCCCCAGGCTCCCACTCAGTTTATCATTACTTGGCTGTTTTTTACAGTATAGGCTCTAAGGTGTTGGAATGCAGTGTCTTTTGCTCACTGCTGTCTCCAAGCTTAGAATGCAGAACCACACACTGTAAGACACCTACTGAGTATCTGTTAAAGAAGTGAATAAGGAAATAGAAGGCAAATAAAACCTCAGTTTGTACAATTTCAGCTTAACCCTGAAAACCCAATGATGATAACTTGCATCATTCTGGGAGTGGTAAGTTTCCTTGGTAATAGGAAACAGTCACTTCTACAACATTTAGGTCAGTCTACCACAGTCTGCCTACAAATCTGCCTCAATTTGTATCATAGTCGCAGATTAACAATCCATTTACTGGTTATCAACTTACGTTTTAAAACATGGGTCACCAGACATCAGCTGCATACTGATCAAAACCTACACAAAAGAGTAACAAATGCCACAATTAGAAAAGATTCTCCAGAAGCCAGCGTTATTTCCCCTGTGACACCCAGCCTTACATTTTCTATCCAGAAAGCATGAATGTTTGACGAGGGTGTACCCAATATTCAACTACTGCTTTATGTACACATGGATTAAAAGTCACCTTTAATGTTCAAAACCTTGTGGAAGAGATAAGAATGAAAAGTAAGCATTTCCCAGCAATAATCCTTCCTTAATATGTGTCTATGTCTGGTTTGTCTGTGTTTACTCCAGATTCTTGTGGGATGTAAATATTTGACAACCAGGCCCTTCAGTTCCACAGGCTGTGGCTTCATGATGGGATAGGGAGCCTTTGTGTCAGCTTTGGACCAGGACTAAAGCCTTGCTGTTTCCTTCTGAGATACTGATACTCACGGTTGCTAAGTAACTTTTAAGAATCCACCACAGGACGATTGCATTTTTTTTTTTGAGAAGAGTCTAGCCTCGAACTCACTATGTGTCATGGGGTGGTCTTAAACTTGGCCTTTTCCTCCTTCCTGAGTGCTGTGATCCCAGGCATGTGCCACCATACCCTTTATGTGGTTCTGAGGATTGAACCCAGGGCTTTGTGTGTTAGGCAGGCTTCCTCCAACCAGGCAATACTCCCAGCCTCAAATTCACACTCTTGTGGGAAAAATAATAATGACATTCACAATGAAAGAATTTATTTTGTTTTGACTCTTGAGACTCTCCATATTCCAGGCTACCCTCAAACTTGCTATGTAAGCAAGGATAACCATAAACTTACCATCTTCCTGCCTCAACCCCGAGTGCTGGGATCACACACATGCACCACCACACTTGGCTTGATTTGGGAACTCATGTTCCAGATATAAACTACATGTCCTACACACATCATCTCATTCATCTTCAACACTCCAATGAGAGAGCAACATTCTCATTTTGAGACCACAGAGATCAGGGGATATTTTCTGAGCCACAGAGCTGGCCCAGGAACACACTTACTGAGTTCACAGTCATAATGACAAACCGGACACTTAAAGATTACTGCACACTTCCAGCTAATGTTTGCCCTGCAGCTTCTATAACCTTATTCCACTCATCTCTCTCTACCCAGGACCTCCACCACTGTCCATTTCTTTTTTTCCTGTTTCCTTAAGTCTTAGACCTATCCTGTTGTGTTGGTTCTCTTACTGTCTCTTCTTTCATATACTCCTGCAGTCTGGTTTCCAACTCCACAGGACTGTACTTGTGACTATCGGGAGGTCTTGGGATGGAAGAACTGTATAGCGAGGCAGAACAGAGAGGCAGGACAGTGGTGAGAGGTAAGAGGCTGAGCTTTGTTCTTCACACATGGGTGCCCTGCTTTGTATATTGACCAAGGTGGTTCATTAATGGGAGCAGTGACTAAGTGCAGATGATCCAAAGAGAAACATCCTTGATGTCTGTGTGGATTCTAGAGCCCAAGCAGAAGGACTGACTTTAAGAAAAATTTAAATTAATTTATTTTTTATATTCCAATCCCAGTTCCTCCTCTCTCCTGCTCAACCCCCCCTCCGCCCCCAACTGCCCCATGAAGAGGGTAGGGCCTCCCCTAGGAAGTCTACTAAGTCTAGGACTGACTTCTTACAGGAAGAGGGTCAAGTCATCCTTGTAACCATAGAGAAGACAGCAGCCACGTGCTATAATAGGACTGGAGAGACAAGTATAAGTGAAAGCCCTATGCAGGGATGATGAGGGGATGTGAGCTTAACGAGATCTATCTTTTCTATAGAGGAGAATCTTAGCTGAGGTAAAACACGGGTATGAAAATACACTGAGAAAAAGGCAGGAAGGAGAACCTCTAAATTGGGACAGGAGGCAGAGTGTGGCTGCCAGCTGGAGGTGAGCCCGATTCAGTAATGCCCACTCATTGTGTGTCCTCCAGTGACATTCAGCTCAGGACACAGACCGGGGAGGACACAGGCAAATCAAGTAGGCTTGCAGACCTGCAGGGACAGCAACAGGGAAAGGTACTGGAGTGATAATTCATAGAGGACAATCCAGAACTGTGGCCTCTAAGCCGGATGAGACGGAAGTGGAAGCAGAGGGACCTGGCAGATCATGAGGAAGGGTAGGGTTGAAGACAGCTGAGTGAGATGACCACGAGGGCTGGGGACACAGAGACGGGGGTAGGAGAGGGGCAATTACCTAAAATTAAAAAGCGTTTTAAGTGTGGGGGAGATGACTCCATGGTTACAGAACTGGTCACAAAAAAAGGACACACACACACACACACACGCAGTGCTATTTAGAGATGGTTTATTGCTTTTTAATATAAAAATACATATATTTTTAACTGAACATTTTTTTGTGCTGGGATTAAAGGTGAGTGCCACCACTGCCTGGCTCCTAACTTGGGTTTGAGACAGAGTTCATGTAGCTAAGGCTAGCCTTGAACCCCTGATCTTCCCTGCCTCCACCTCCCAAGTGTGTAATTATAGGTGTGTACCTGACATTTCCTCATCTTCTTTATCATTTCCCTCTCCGCATCAACTGCCCATCTCACTTTCTTAAAGATGCTGACATGTGCTAGGGATGTCTGCCTATAAAAACCAGTCTATGAATTTCCGTATCTTCAGAGCTAAATGTTCACGGAAAAACAAAGCTGAAACTGTGGGAATAAAGTAATCCTTCACTTTACTAACTCTGCAATAAAAACCACTTGGTTTTTAAATAGCCATCTTTCTTCTTACTTACTAATTTAAGTAAAATGCAGCAAAGATTCTCCTAGGTATAAGATATTTTCTGAATATTTTCCCAGTGGATCTAATTTAATATTTCCACCAACTTCAGGAAGCACGCATTCTCTGTGATTACCTGAACACATGGCCCCTGATGAGATTTGGAGAAATAAGGCATACGCCCATGGAGTGGCTCTACCTGTCACTTCACTGGTTACAAGAGAACCTAGGGACCTCTACAAACATATCACAGCTTCTTTGGAAGTTCTCTTGAGAGGTGTGTGTGTGTGTGTGTGTGTGTGTGTGTGTGCGCGCGTGCACATGTATATACAGGTAAATGAGTGCCAGTGCACACAGCTGCTCACACACACAACTCTGAGGAGGGCATCAGAAGTCCTCCTTTCACTTTCTGCCTTATTCCTTTGTGGCAAGGTCTTTCCTGAGCCTATCAGTTAGGCTATCAGTTAGGTTGATAGGCAGGAAGCACCAGCAGCCTTTCTGTCTCCACTCCCCACAGCACTGGGGTGACAGGCAGGAACAAAACCACCCTTGGCTTCTTACATGTGCTGGGATCTGAACTCAGCTCTTCATGATGGTATAGCAATTGCTCTTAACTACCAAGCCGACTTTCTAGTCCCAGAGATAGCGATCTGTCCTTTAAGCTGCATATCTAATCATCATGCTCCCCCTCTCCAATCTACTGTAGTGGTGGTATATTTGTTCACAGCACCAATGAGAAACACTGGACCATAAAGGTGATCATTACTTTTCACTGCTTCTATGGCTTGGAAGGGTCTTTCCTTAGTGGTGTGAAGGCTCATGACCTCCATATGGAGTCCCATTGTATCCACGACAACAGATACCTGTGCTCAGTTAGATGCAGAAAATCTCTTTTATTGGCATGTAAATCATGAAGAGGGCTTACTTTAAGAATGGAATTGTCCTGTCTTGTATTTTTGGTATCATAGCCTTCCAGTAAACAGCGACGGGTGGTATTTCCTGATCCAGCAAACTCTGCCAGGTTTAGATCTGCAAAGCCCAGCTATGAAAAGAAAGAGAATCATATTAATAGACCATCTAGTAGGCTCTATCATATCTCCTTAAAATAGACATTCAACCCATGAGTTTTCTCAAACCTTTCAGTTCTTGTCTTTTTACTACTACCCGCTTTATCATTTGCTTTAAATGGGTCCTTAATTTAGTGGCTTCTTAATAAAAATCTACTACCGATTCTACTCATCTTTTATCATGGATTTGATGTGCTGAATACATTTCAGTATACATTAAAATAAATATGGCTGTGATAGTACAACTGAGGCACACCAAAAGGCAGAATCACTCACAGTAGCACCTACACTCACATTGCCCTGTGGGGATAATTGTAGGCACGTCCAGACTCTCACTCTTCTATTCTGGATCCTGCCCTACGCTGAGTTAGCCACCCGGGACTGCAGATCATTACAGGTGAAGCTCCCATCCTCCACGCACTCACGAGGACTCCGGTGAGCCCCTTCCCTTCTTCAGTAAGGGCCGTTTTTCCTCTCCCGTCTTCCTGCTAGCCAACCATCCTTCAGCCGAGTCTTTCTACGAACCCTGCTGCTGCCCTTGCTCACGGTTCTGACCCACACCTACCCTCTCTGCTGCTACCCAGGAGTTCAGCTGAAACTCGTTCCTCTTCCATACTGCTACCCGGAGATGCCATTTCCTGCCATTAGCAAAGCTTGCTCGAGTCTTTTCCTCTGATGTTGCTTAACCCAGCTTCACTGTTCAGCTGAGCCCCTTATGCCATTGCTGTTTTATCAGTTTCCTCCTACACAACTAAGTGTATACAGTTTTTATGAACAAAAAGTGAATTAAGCACATCTCTAGGAACACGTAATAAGCTGCATGATATGTTTCAAACACTGCTGAGGTGTGTGTGTAATGTATGTGGTATGTGTGTGTATACACAGGAACACACATCCAACAGTGAGTGTGCAGAGGTCAGAGGACAACTTCAGGCTTTGGTCTTCACCTTCCGCCATGTTTGAGACAGGGTCTCTTTGTGGTTGGCGCTGTGCTGTGCAGGCCGGGCTAGCTGCCTGCAGGGATTCTCCTGTCTTTACTTCCCTTCTCACTGTAGCACAGATATTCTGGGTTTACATATTCTAGGGGAGCTAACCTCAGGCTTTTACACTTGGGCGGCAAGCATCTTCCCTATGAGTCAGCTCTCTAGACCCACTTTTAGGGGCATGCAAGAGGATGGTTTCAATTGCCTATTGGAGCATTATTTCAGTAGTTTTTTTTAATTAATTTTTTTACATCCCGATCAAAGTGTTCCCCCTCCTATCTTCCCAGGTTGCAGCACCCCCATCTACTCCTTTTCTATTTCTCTTCAGAAAAGGGCAGGCCTCCCATGGACATCAACCTAACATGGCATATCAAGTTGCAGTAAGACTAGACACCTCCTCTCCTATTAAAGCTGGATGAGGCCATCTGATAGGAGAATAGGGTCCCAAAAGCAGGCAACAGAGTCAGAGACAGCCCCTGCTCCTACTATTTCAGTAGTTTTTACCTGGTGTAAAGAAAATAGCTGGGAGAATCATGGAAGCCCAATGCAGTAAATCAGGCACACAAGACATGGGCAAGAGCTGAGTTTTCACATGGTTAGTCCAGTCTTTCTGTCTTTTAGTGGAGCAGCAGAGGAGGGAAAGCCAGCGTGGGTCCACGCAAAGACACATTTGAGTGAGCATGTGAAGACACATGGCACTTACTTGATCACCCTTTATTAATACAAGCTACTTCATACTCCCCTTTAAAGCTCCAGAACTTTTCCCTGTTCCATTTCCCTGCTGATGGCCTTGTTGCCTACTTCACTCAGAAAATAAAAGCAGTCAAGAGCACTTAGCTTCCATAAATATTTACTGCCAGGCGCAGCCACACCCGCCTTCCCACTCACGTCCTACGGATGATATGGCTGCCTTTCCCAGGCTTCTGCCTCCCGTGTTTATGTTGTAGTTTTTCCTGCTGCTTGACACTCTAATTTTCCCCCTCTCTCCTAGACATTCCCACCAGCACACAAACATGCTGGATTTTCTCCCGTCTTAAGGAACCAACCAAACCTGTTCCATATCTCTCCAGATTATTGGATTATCTTCTGTTCATCCTCCACCAAAACAAAGACAAAGGAAAAACCCCCACAAAACAACCCTTCTTTAAAGAGTTGTCTATGCTCCCTCTGATCATCTGGTCACACTAACTTTCTTCTTCCTGGTGATCCCTTAACTCTGCTAGCCATAAGGGCCAAGGTCAACTCAAGGCCGTTAATGCTCTTGAACTCACTCTTAGATAATCTGGTATTTTCCAGTTCCATTCACATCAAGGTTCAAATGGTAGTAAAGGGGTCTTAATAAAGGCTAGCTGCCCATTAACTTACCATCTACGGTTGCAGCACTGATTTTATATTGTCACTAAGGGTCTCTGTTACCGATTACATGACTCTGTTTCTCTAGAGATTGTGTGCTGGAAGCCTAACACACAATAGGATGGGATGGAGTGGTGGGGGCTTTGGGAAGTAATCATGTCTTGAGACTGAAGTCCTCATGAATGAATGAATGCATCCCTCCCCTTTTGGTGCTGGGTACCAAACCCAGCTCTTTGCACACGTCTCAGTATGTGTTCTACGACTGATCTGTACACTAAGGTCTGGATGGATGCACTTTAAACAGAGGACAGAATTTTCATGCTTGCTCTGAAATCTGCCACACAGTGACATATTGAGAAGCCGGTCATCTGCAAACCAGGAAGTAGGCTCTCCACAGACACTAGATTGTGGCTTTAGACTTCTCAGCATCTAGAATGCTGAGAACTAAATGTATTTTGCTTTTGTCATCCTGTCTGTCACACTTTGGCATAGCAGCAAAAACCAAAAGTGACATGCCAATGTACCTTTTATGTGCCATACTCTTACAGAGACCAAGGAGAACAATGGGGAATAGGAAAACATATTCTGACTTCAAAGAACTCACATTGCAGAATTGATAGCATGGTGCCAGAGAATCCATATCTCTTATGACTTTCTTTGGCTTCACCAAGATAACAGTCACATGAATATCTATGTGTATGTGTTTTCTATATGTGTCTCATAAATATGTCATACCTATACATCACATTTGTGGCAGACATTAACTTATTTAGAAAATAACTTTTAACATTTGTATTCCAGGCAACATTAGGCATTAATTAGGAACATAGAATGTTTTCCCCTTTTCTGGTGCTGGGGATGATGGAACCCAGGGCCCATTTCATGCTCTTCCCTAAGCTGTCCTATAGTACTGCCTGTAAGTGCTGTGGTAAAGGAAGACACGATTACAAGAGAGGAGAAGAAGAGTTCTCATGGGAAGGTATGACTAAACTGAATCCTTAATGACACATGAGTTGAAGGGGGGGAGATACATGCATGGTGTCAAGTCACAAGGCAAAGAAGCTAAAATAGATGAGATGCTCTAGGAAGCTTAGATGGCAGTGTGCCACGTAAGAACGAGGGGTAGGAGAGAAATGGCAGGAACAGAGAACACAGGAAGCAGGCAGAAGAGATCAGACAGCAGAAACAATTTGCAAACCAAAATGGATCTTATTTATTAGCCTATAGAATTTCCAGTTTCCTGTACAGTCAGCGAATAACCACTGAAGAACTAAAAGTGGGGAATGGTAGACCATGTTTCGTCTTAGAAAGACCACTCTGGCAGGACTAAGGAAGACGGAGTCAGACAACGGAGGGGACAGGCTATGCAGGAGGCCAAAAGGGGCCATCAGCAGAAAATCATGCAGGTAAACCTAAGGCAGTAGTCTCACAAAAGGCAAGAGAATATGGTTTTAAGAACTCTTAGAGGAGAAAAAAATTATGAACAGTTTCCAGCAACAGATGTTGTCGTTTGCCTGCCTCTGCCCTGCTAGTCCTTGCTCAAACTCCACTTTCCCTCAGAATTCAATGTCCTTACTTATCCGTGTACACACAGAGGAGCCCACCACATTGCTACATTGAGGTCAGTCTAGCTCAACAACAGCAATCCAGTCCTATGGCCACCGGTGGTTGGGGTGGAATACGGTCCAGTCACACTCAGTAAAATGCGTAGGGGAGCCAGCTGAGAGCATCTAGGAAATGATTTCTCACTCAACAAAAATACCACACATAGACCAGCTAGGGGTTTTTCTGCACATGAATTGTGTTAAAAAAACAACAACAACAAAACTTGAGCAACTAGAAACCTGATGTCCAGGTGTGGTGTTGACCAAGAATAAGGGCATCACAGAGGGAAAGGGGATAATGGATCCCTGACCACATTCCTCAGTCAGTGGATTACCCAATCCTGGAGCAGCAACATCTCATATCTATCTGCTTTGGGTCATCAGTAAGCTATGGTGTCAGGAAAACCAGAGAACATTCTCTAGTAGGGAGGCTAAGACTAAGGGGTAACAGCCCATCAGAATATTATTTTTTAAAAGATTGCTTATGTTTATTATGTGGGTGTTTTGTCTGTATATAGGTCTGTGCACCATGTGCCTGCAGTGCCTGAAGAGGCCAGAAGAGGGGGTTGGGTCCTTTGGAACTGGAGTTAGAGGCAGTTACAGTACCATTTGTGTGTTGGAACAGAACCCAGGTCCTTTGGAAGAACTGCCAGTATTCTTCACCACTGAGTCATTTCTCCCAAAAGAGTATTGTAATACTTTATTGTTAGATCCAGTTATTCAACCTCCAATTTGCTTTACTTAAAACGAGTCAAGCTTGAGTAACAATTAAAAGCTTACGGATTGCAATAGCAACATTATGAATTGCAAAAAAGAGAGAACATCTACTTACCTTTGCATAAGCTTTGCCACCTTTTAATTCCTGCAAATATAGAAAACATTATGAGGACATTATATGATGAGGGATTTATGACTAAATGTAAGTCAAATGATTCTGAAGTAGATATTTATATGTTAGTAAATGTCACAGACAATAAAAATAGACTGATTTTAAATCCAACTATTCAAATCAATAAAAACACCTTAAAATGACCAATTTTTCACTCTGCTTGCAGCTTTATTTATTTAGTCAGTTTTGATATGGAGTCTCTCTATATTGCACAGACTGGCCGTGAGCTCCTGGAGCTCAAGTATCTCACCTCAGCTTCCCTCAGCCCGGACTGTAGGTTACATCTGTGAGGACTAGGAGTAAAGTGCTTAGAACAATACCACCCCATGTACTCTGTTTCTCCCTATCATCATGGACAAACTTCCTCTCACTTTAAAAACATTTTCACTGAGAGAATTGTTCCTTCTTTTTTGCATCTCTGACACTGAAGCATTATCTATCACTTCTATCTTTCACACAGTGAATTTAAATAAGTCCAGACAGTCTACAGGAAGCTCTATTGTTACTTGCAAATATCTGCAGTTCTTTGCCATTCCTGCCCCTATTTCTCTCTTTTCTTTTCTTTCCTTCTCTTTTCTCTTCTTTTCAAGGTAGGGTATCAATAGCTTTGGAGGCTGTCCTGGAACTCGCTCTGTAGACCAGGCTGGCCTCGAACTCACAGAGATCCGCCTGCCTCTCCCTCCCGAGTGCTGGGATTAAAGGCGTGCGCCACCACTGCCTGGCTCCCGCCACTATTTCTATTCCACGTGAGTTGTCACACTTTCTTCTTCATTGGGTCACTTCACATCCCTTACTTAATAGTGCCATTCTTAAACAAGAGGAAATGTCCTCTAGGTGTTCCTTGGATCTTCAACTTTATTATTTTCATTGCTGTTCCTCTATGGTCAAAATTCAAAAGACTTCTGACCACTGGGGACTGAGAGGAGTAGAGGGAGGGGAAACTGTGGTCTGGATAGGATGCATGAGAGAAGAATAAACAAACAAACAGACACTGAAAAAACTTAAACCTCTACCTGCTGCATTCTGTTCCAGTCAATCCTCTGCAACTGGATTTGTCCTCGTTTTCCCTCTCTAGTAGCTCAAGATTCCTAGTGATCTTTATTTTGCTAAAGCTAAGAGCTCAGTCTCCATGTTAGCTTCTCATCATGTGACGGGCTTGACCTTCTTTCTTACATCATTTTCCTCTCTACACCTCCCTGACACCACATCGACCCTGCTTCCCTCCTGCTTCCCTGGCTACTGTTCCTCCTGCCTCTCCTTTCCTGCATCCACTCCTTTATTATCTTCTGCAGAAAGGATGCTGTACCTCAAGTATCTGCTCTTTCTTCCATGTATTGGAGTCCGGCACTTTTAATTGAGTATCTGATTGCCCAAAATAATGCCTGTGTAAAACTTCTACCCCCAAACCTTAGCATTTTGACTTTGAGATATTAAAGCCAACTTTCCACAGCAGCAGCAACATCTTATAAAAGTCCATGACTCTCCTAATTAGAATCTCCCAATAATTGGGCGTGGTAGTTTATGCCTATACTCTCTGCACTTGGGAGGTAGGACAGGAGGATCATGAGGTCCTGTCTCAAAACGCCACCAACCAATCTACCCACCCACATGCTGGGGCGATTGCTCAGTTGGAAAGAGTGCTTGTTGCACAAATTTGAGGACCTAGTTCAGATGCCCAGCATACATCCAAAAAACTAGGTGTGGCCACATATGCCTGCCACCCCAGTGCTGGGGGGCGGGGCAGAGAGCAGAGATGCCTCGATTTTCTAAACCAATTGTTCTTCCCTAAACTCTTGTTTCCCCATAGTTTTTTTTTTTATGTGTGGCATTTATCAGTACTAAACTAATTTTATTTTGCTAATCTCTTGCTTTCTGTTACCTAGTTCTTACCAGAAAGTAAAACGTAAGAGGTCTGAACTCCATTCCAGTTCACTCATCTTTTCAGACCCCAGAGCAGTACCTGGCACATGGATGGCACTGACAGATTCATTGATTGGTGACTGCTTTCCTGTTTCTAGGCAACGGGGTTCACTATCAAACTCTGGTCATCTGATATGTAGACAAAATGGTGTCTATTTGTAGTTTTAATTTGTGTTAAGACTGGGTATATTGCTTGTTTAAAATACTTTCTTTTGGAAGGGAGATATTGTCGGCTGTCATCTTCTCAAGTGCCGTTGATTCTTTTATACTGTGTAGAGGTGTTCTTTCTGTTTTAATTAGGTTTTTTTGATATGATTTATAAGCAGTTTCCTCTAATTAGTGGCTTTACTTGATGAGTTTTTCTTTTAATGGTCAACGTGTTTAAATAAATGAGTTCTCTGATCTTTCCTTCGTACAACACTTAGGGAAGGTTGCGTAGAATAAACTTGACTCCAGGAGCAGTCGATACAGCACAAGATTACTGGTGACTTCCCAACCTCTCTTCTGACATGTTAGAACCTACTAGTCACCCAACTACAGATGACAGTCACAGCCTTTCAGTTTCGAGTGGCCACACAACTAAATTCTAACCAGAGGGAGGTGTACAAAAGACCCATGCACCATTTTTGAATCACGTGTGTCCCTATGTCACTAGTCAAGAGAGAACAAGACTGGAGCTGTCCTCTTAGATCCAAAGATGGAACCATATGATAACAATGGCAGAGCTACTATCTTTATCTCAGGTTCTGAAGCAACTTCTATGCCATTTTGTCTAAGCCTTTGGCTTTTTTGGGTCTGTTTCAGCAGTTTAACATATGTATTTTGTGCTGGTTAGTTTTTTGTCAACCTGATACAAGCTCAGATCATCTGGGAAGAAGAAACCTCAACTGAGAAAATACCTCCATCAGATTGCCTGTAGACAGCTCTATGGGGGCATTTTCTTGATTAATAATTGATGTGTGCGTGCGTAAGTGCACGCGAGCACAGCTCAGCTCGCTGTGGGTGGTGCTTCCCCTGGGCAGAGGTGTATGAGGAAGCGGGTTGAGCAAGCCACAGAGAGCAAGCTGGCAAGCAGTGTTCTTCCACGGCTTCTGCTTCAGTTCCTGCCTCTAGTTCCTGCCCTGACTTCTCTTCATGTTGTACACTGTAAGACTAAATAAACCCATCCCTCCTTAAGTTGCTTTGGCCATGATGTTTATCACAGCAAAAGAAAGCAAGCTAAGACATATCCTAATGAATATGCCAAAGCTCCATAATATAAGAAAGGGTTTACTTGAGGTATGACCTGGCGTCACTGGCATCTGCAGTTTCTGTTTGTTTTACTACAGCTTGAGCCTATTTAATTTTAGTTGGGCTTTACTTTAAGTTGGTTATATGCTTTGCTTTCCTTAGCATCCAAAGACTAGCTCATCATCCTTCAAGCATCACGATGAGAACTCCACTCAGAAGGGTTTCAGTGAAAGTGCAGCAGCAGCCAAAGCAGTAAGATGAAGGTAGTCTTCTTTTTGTCAGCCAATCCCTACCTTCATGACGAATCAAGGAATAGTGCCTTATTTGGATGTAGAGATTTAACATCATAATTGCCTAAAGTCTCACAGTCGGTAAGTGGCATGCTTGGGGCTCAAGGCAGGTTGGCATAACTGCGTCTGTTGGTATAAAAGTGTGCCTTTGCTGTACCACACTTCCTCTGCAGAAGCTTCCACTCAATTACCGTTGCTCTGGACACAACTATTTTCATAAAGTCTTAAACCTGTAAAATCATTTCTGAACACATGTATTTATTATACTCTAACTGAGTGTATTGAGCAATATAAAAACGTTGAAATAAAGCTGATATCAATTCATTCAAACCATGGAACAACAAATCTAAGACTATAGCTTTTTAATCTGATACAGAAAGATGCAAGACCAGAGTGGAAAAGAGCAAAAAGACTTATATGTGCTCTGGTAACTTAAAAAAGAATATATAAAGCTGGGCATGGTAGCATGCCTGTGATCCCAATACTTGGGAGGTGGAGGCAAGGACGATCATGAGGATCATGAGTTTGAGACAAGTCCAGCCTACATGTGAGTTCCAGGCCAGACTGAGCTACAAAGTGAGCCCTTGTTTCAGGAAATATCAGAAAAAATGTGCATAAAATGTAAAATGCACAGTTAGGTTTTTATTTTTCAAGGCAGAGTCATATGACATAGCCTAGACTGGTCTTAAATTTGCTATGTAGCCCTGCTAGCCTTGAACTTGGCATCCTTCTGTCTTTGGCTCTCCAATTGCTATGATTACAGACTTGCCACCACCATGCTTGGCTATGAAGTTTATATTTTAAATATTGTAGTCAATTCACTAGTAGCAGTGATTGACAGATTCTTCTTTTTTAGTAAAAAAATTTAGGGTCTTATGTATATGATCTCCTCAACCTCATATATGAAAACAAAATAAATATAAACAAGGACAGAGATTTGTGTTTGACTCCTCCTATTACCATTTATTAACAATGTAAGTTTGGGTAAGTTACTTCATTTCTCTGAGCCTTAGTTTTTCTGAACATAGAGAAAAGGACACCCAACTCCAGGACTGCTATTAGACATAATTGAACAAAGTCCCCAGAACAACACCTTTCAAAGAACAGATTTGGTGGAATCTGGCCCTGAACTCTAGATCAGAGCCTCTTTTAGCCCTCAGAGAAGTTGTTTCTTGCAGTAGACGGTAATTCACCCAGACACCTTCAACAGGTCAATATGCACAGAGTGTTCATCACTAATGGGGCATCCCCACAGGCTCAGGGATCTATGCGGAAGAGGGGCTGGAAAGACTGGAGGAGCCAGAGGTCGTGGACAATTTGAAGGACACAACAGGACAGACACATGTAAGAACTCACAGTGACCATGTCAAGCACACACAAGACCCGCACAGGCTTAACCCAGCAAATCCCAGCACAGGAGGGAAGTGGGAAAAAAATCCAACTACTAGTTGACTCGTGAGGACATAATGGCATTTGATAGCTGCTGCGAGAGGGCCAGTCAGTTTTCTTTAATGATGCACCACGCTCCAAGGCAGGCCCCACTCCCAAGAGCAGTTGGACAACACAAACAGAACTGGATTAGAAAAACAAAAGGAAACTCCAAGGTGGGTGGGTGGGGCAGTGAAGAAGGAAGGGTAGGTGAAGACAGACGAGTAGGGCAGGAGTACAAGTATGTCAAACGCATTGTATGAAATTTCCAAAGAATTAATGAAAGTATTATTGTAAAAAAGGGAAGAACAGAAGTTTGATAAATGACAGGATACAGACACGCACACTCCCAGACTACTACAAATGAGTGGTTAACACTCATTTTGTGCAATATTTCTGAGAGCAAAGTTTTTTGGCTCTTGGGTAATAACCTTGGGTTTTCCACCATATTTTCCACAGAAATTTAATTTATTGCTGGAAGTGTGAAGTTAAGTTCTACCGTTCAAGCAGATCTAAATAAAGTGACTCAGTGACTGTAGCTAATTATGGTTTCTGAAAGAGGAGGAATAATAGGCTATTTTTGTACCTTCCGTACAGACACTCTGTAGACACAAGGATCCAGGATGCCGGTGGAGGCACTGGCACTCATCTTGCACATAAATGAGAATTTCTTTCTCCAGCGAACACAGTTTGCTTGCACCACCTCCCTGGATAGGGAAAAACAAAAACCAAAAGCCAGTTAATTACTATGTTACAAGCACTCACAGTTTCACTCAGGTCTACAATACAAGGTTATACAGATGTCGGTATTTTCATGTGCTGGACAGATGGCTCAGTTTGTAAAATGATGGCTTTGCAAACAGGAGGACTGGACTTCAGGTCATGTGAAAGCCAGGTGCCTGTCATCCAACCATTTGAGACACAGGGACTCCCTGGCGTATGCTGAGTAGCCAAACTAGCCAAAACCCAGGGCAAGCTCTGGGTTCAGCCAGAGACCCTGCCTCTATATATAAGGGACAGAGCATCTCAGAGTGCCACCTGACGTCATGTTGGGCTTCCACACTCAAGCACACACAGGAGTACATAGAAATGCAACAAGTCAGTATTTGCAGGCAGTGAGACAGGAATAATTGGCCATTAGAAATAAGACATTAATTTATTTGTCAATCAGTTTAAAGCGACTCTTCACCACTCATTTGATGTACGTTTATTTTCTCTGTGTTGGGTACACCTCTAAATGCTTAAAATACAAAGTGAAGGGCAGAATTCCTAACCTTGTAGGACTTTGTGCAAGAGACAGAGACACACACACAAATACTCTAGTTTCTGTCTGTTTCAGCAACATGAACTACCATTTCAGAGTTTCCAACATGATGCTCAATCTCACACCAACTCTAAAATGTAGTTGGCACTTCCCTCACTGCACAGACCAGGAATTTAAGCAGAGGAGGGGAGTTAGATCAATGTTACTTAGGGGGTGAATGCAGGCATCACATGTAAGTCAGGCCTGTTTAACTAGAAGCCCCTTGTCCACAGCCCTAATCTGCTGTTTTTCTAACAGCTTTCCTCTTTCAAATGTCCTGACTTTTACACAAGCTGTTCTATTTACTGGGTAGGTCCAAGGAATTTAGCCTTAGAAAGCAAAAATAATTACTCTGTGGGTGGGTCATAAATAGAGAAAAATGGATAAAGCAAGAGAATGAATGTTTTCTAGATTACTCATCAGTCCAGTTAATATAGGCAAGAGAGCATTTTTTTTAGACAGGGTCTCAGTATATAGTCCCACTGTCCCATTGTCTGGAACTCACTGTGTAGACAAGGTTGGCCTTGAATTCCAAGAGATCATCTTGCCTCCTAACCAACATCACTCCCGGCCTCAATATTCGTATTAATTCTTGAGGATTTCATACATGCATATAAAATGTATTTTGAACATATTCACTCCTACTCCTCCCCCTAATTCCCCCCATATGCACCACATCCCACAAACCTCCCAACTCCATGTATTTATTTATTTAAACAATCAATTGAATCCAAATTGTGCAGCTCAAATACTCATGGGTGTAGGGTCATCATGGAGCATGACTGACCTACTAGGAGCCACATCCCTAAAGAAAAGTAACATCCCATATCCCTGAAGTGCCACCCCTGGCTTCTCAGAGGTGAGGGACCTTGAGTCCTTCCCTACTCCATGCTGGAATGCTGACTGGCTCGATTGTGTGCAGACAGCCACAGCTGCTGAGAGCTCAAGATTGCGATAGTCCCGTCAGAGCAGAAAACACTGTTTCTGTCCAGTTCTCCCTGACCTCTGCCTTACAATGCCACAGTCTCCCCAACCCCTCCTCTGTGATGGTCCCCGAGAGCACAGGTGTGGTGAGGCTGATCTTCTTAAGAAAGTACACAGTAGGATCACTTCTCTGGAGCAACAGACTGATGGGTGACATAAGAAATTTTGATTAATGTTGGAGAAAAGGACATATAGGGTGAATGCAATAATGTGTCAACTTGTAGCTGCCTCTGTGAATAAGTGAATGTGTATTAAGATCACTGAGTTTGGTTTTATAGATGAACTTTTAAAATGCCCAGAAAAATAATGAAAATAATTTAAAAAACACAGATTTTTGTTTGCTTGCTTGTTTTTTTGAGACAGGGTTTCTCTGAATAGCTTTGGAGCCTGTCCTGGAAGCTCTTGTAGACCAGGCTGGTCTCGAACTCGTAGAGATCTGCCTGTCTCTGCCTCCGGAGTGCTGGGAATAAATGCATGTACCACCACCTCCCATAGAACAATATTTTTCCAAGTTTTTGTTTGTTTGCTTTTGTTTTTACCATTTCACAAGAAGACAAAAACAAGCATTCAAGGACAGGTAATTAATTTAGCGACTAAAGAACTCTGAATCGGATGCTGTTAACACTGAAAGCCAAGAGTGGAATTTTAAATGGTTCTGCAATAAGATGAAGGAAGGACCAAAGGTGGATGAGTTGATTGAAAGCAGTTTTAGAAACAGCCATACCCGACCCCTGCAGGAAGCTCAGCTTTATTCTCCTGACAGGGGGATCGGATGACACTCTGGCCTGCCTGACCCCAGGGCAGGTCTCAGTGGCACGATGGCAAATTGATCTGAGTAGCAGAAGACGATGAATCAGTGCTGACCCTCTTCTCTAGCCGGCTCCAGCAACGCTGGAGACAGGCATGAGTTCATCAAGAAAACGCTAAAGAGATGGACACTGAAGGCTCCAAACAAAATGGTCCACGTCATCTCAACCTGCTGTAAACATCTGAGAAACTCTCACCAGGAAAAGCAGATCAAGGTGAATGGCACAAAAGGCAACTTCTCAGAGCTGGTGCTGGAAGAAGAGTTTCCAAATGAAAAACTTACAGTTGACTTTTGATATCCACTCACACACATACATGCACAAATGATATAATAATAAAAAGAAATTGCATCTACTACACAGGACTAAGATGATATTTAGAACAACAACAACAACAACAAGATCATGGGCCCCTGAAACATGTTAATGAAAACCAAAACTACTGGGTGTGGCCTTCCCTTTGTGGTTTGGACTTACTCTACCTTTCTCAGAGCTCAGAGGTGAGCCTTCATAGACTACACAACCGGGGTTCCTGCCATCTACCTCGGACTGTGTGTGCAAAAGCAGCAGCAGCAGAGGGCTGAGGGCAGGTGAGGAGAGAAGACATTCCATTCACCCTCCTCGGCTGCTTCCTTCTTAGGTGTATCAGACATGGATAGTTGTTAGGGACTGCAGTTTTCCAAAGTGCTTGGCATGTAAACCATAAACTACTTCATTAAAATAAGAACTGGAAATTAAAAATATTACTAAGTACTGAAAAAAATCTCAAAAAAGAATGAAGTTACATGTAGGAGTGCCAGTATGGTGACCCACACTTGTCATCTCAACGGTAAGGAGACTGCAGGAGGAGGACACCAATTTGGGTTGCACTAAAAAAGTAGTTAACACTGAAAGCCATTATTTTCTTTCTTTCTTTCCTTCTTTCTTTTTTTTTTTTTGGTTTTTACGAGACAGGGTTTCTTTGTATTGTTTTGGAGGCTGTCGGTCCAACTCGGCCTCGAACTCACAGAGATCCGCCTGCCTCTGCCTAAGCTATTATTTTCTAATTGTTTCAAATATTCACTCCGTGAATACTCTTTCTTGTCTAGTATACAAAAATTAAACAACCTCATTTTGGTCAACTTTCTGCCACTATAATCAATTTCTGAGTCAAATCAACTTACAAAGAGAAGAGGCTTCCTTTGGTTCATTGTTCTGGGGTTTCAGTCCAGGGTGACCGGCCTGTGGCACTGGGCCTGCGGCAAGGCAGCCTAGTGTGCTGGGAACACGTGGTGGAGAAAAGGCCTCTCCCTTCACAGCTAGCAAGCCAAATGGAGGAATGGGCCAGAGTTACACAATCCCTTTGGGAGCATGGGTCCTAATGACCCAAAGTGCCCCCCATTTGACTCCACCTCTTAAAGGTCCCATTTCCTCTTAATTGTGTCACGCTGGGAACAAGCCTTTGCCACACAGACCTTTGGATCCAAATTACAGCTGCATCTTAAAATGTTACTGAGCTAAATGTTCTAGGAATTATGTCAGAAATGAAAATAAAACACGGGTACTACAAACTCCCAAACCCTTGGGTTATGCTTCGTTGCTTTTATCTGTTTGTGAAATATCAGTGATTCCCCAAATTAACTAATTAGAAATACATACTAGGTTTTCAGAATCTAGCACATAACACCCTTACAATGTGGCTTCTTTATAATGATTTCACATATCGAATCTTTTTTTTCCCCTGAGATAGGGTTTCTCTGTATAGCTCTGTAGACCAGGCTGGCCTTGAACTCACAGAGATCCGCCTGCCTCTGCCTCCCGAGTGCTGGGAATAAAGGCGTGCGCCACCACCGTTTGGCTTCATGTACCAAATCTTACATACTATCATTTGTACAAAGAGAGGGCAGCTTCGGCCTGAGTGACAAAGTTAAAGATACTAAGTAAACTCTGCATGTACCTGTTGTCCTTAAAAAAACAATGAAGTGGGAAACATTTCATATTTATCTAGTTTACCTAGGGTGGGAAACCAACAGTAAGTCTGGTAGACTTGGGAGAAACTAGTTTGAGAATAGCAATGTAAATATGGGCATGAATTGCTGCATATAAGGAATAGGTTTTAATAAAGGTATTACTTTTTCCAGAGGAAAAACAAACTTCCACAGGTCCCACCTCTACCTGCTGACTTCTCCTTAATGACAATGGTGACAGCAGTTACTGAGAGCTTTCAATGCACCAGACCCTGGACATTGTCTACATCGTGGAACAACCCCATTTCCTTAGTAAAGTAACTGAGAGAAATTGTGTAACTTGTCCAACTTCACTAAGCTGAAAAGAATCCAAAAGGATCATGTCTTGTGCCTACTATCAATTCCTGCCCATCATTTTCTAACTACTCAGAAACCATTCCCTTTCCTGCATCTACCATCACTATCCTTATTCAGACCCTTAACACCATTTCCTTGATTTATTTTAAGAGTCTCCTTACTGGTCCCGGCTTAAACCTGCTTCCCTCAGCCTTCTACTTGAGAGTGTGGCTCATACCTGTAATCCCAGTATCCGGGAAACCAAGGCAGGAGAAAAAACAAAAACAAAAAACTTAAGTCTCAAAAATAAAACAAAGAAGAAAAAATACCAC